ATCGGTCGTAGGAACGATGGGATTCCAAGAACGGAAGGGCGGTGCGAATGCCGGAGGAAAGTGAGAGGAAACGAAGAAACGATGGCAGAAAAGAGAAGTTTGCTCTTCGTGGCCAACAGCCGTGAGTCATCATCGTCCGATGACATCCGATTTCATTCATCCTCGAAGCTAGAAAGCTGGGGAACCCTTTCTTGATTCGCGACCAAGAGTGACTGAGAGGAACGCTTCCGGAACAACGACGAAGAGAAAGGATACGTGATGAACGAGTACTCGATACATTGACGACAGACGTCGGCTAGCGAAGTTTAAGAGACAGAAGAGAATCGACCAGGTGGAGGACCCGAGCCTGATGGATTCGTAAAGTAAAGAAGATCAAAGCGACATGGAGGAGCCGCAGAAGCTCTTTCGTCTTCCGGGCACCATCGAGGAGGAGGAAGAAAAGGATACAGAGGTTCAAGGACATCGAATGGTCCCGGAGAACCCGATGGGAGCCGACTCACCCTTGCTCGGACAGAGAAACACTGGGACCTTGTCCAGTCTACCGAGAAACGTGACCCTCGTTAGGGTCAGCACCCAAAGCAGTAGCATCGGTGGCGTCGGACGACAAGATTCCACCAGGTGAGTTTCTTTCCACTTTATTCGCCTTCCACGATCGAATACGTAACATAAAATTGTAACATAAATCGTAGTCTCGCCCCTTCGTATAGCTTTAAGGATTCGAGGAAGAAGTAATTGATTCTCATGTCTCCTACAATAGTGAATATATTTCAATGAAACTTTTTTCTGAAGTGGAGCTCATGGGTACCTACAAAAAAGTATTAGACAACTTTTCTGTGGGGCGTCAAACAAAATTACTAAAAATGAAAAACGAATTTTTAAGAAAAATCGACAGGGGGTAGGTGCCTAAATTATCGGCGAAAAAAAAAAATTTCAAATCGTTCTACAAAAATTATTTTCAGTTACTAGGTTCAATTATAATCATTTTTGGTGAATAGATATACCCTCGAAATCCTACGCATTTTCGAGAAAAAAATTCGAGTAGATGCTGATATTTTTCAGCGAAATTAAAAAATTTTAAATCATTCTGAAAAAATTATTTATGGTTGCAGGGGTCAATTGCAATCATTTTTGGTGAATAGACATACCCCCGAAATCCTACGCCCTTTCGAGGAAAAAAATCATTACCGAAAATATAATGTCTGACTAGAAATGATTCCCCTGAAATTGCATGTGTATGTTTAAAAAATCATACCTCCCGAACAGATTGGTGGATTTTGATGTTTCAGAATGCAAGGTGCGCGTATTTTGTTGAAGAATATTTAGATATTCTAAGAATGTCCGAGAAGTTGCGCTTTAACCTCTGAAAGTGAGAAGAACCCCATAAAAATGGGCCGAAAAAATGCATTGGATGCAAGGTCTACTTGCATATCTCCTCTGTGATAGTATGAGCGACCCATTGACTCGCACGAGTCGATTCTATTAGCCTTAACTCGCAAGGGGGCCACATGGTGCGTAACACATCAATTTCAATGAATATTCGTCGATGGATAAGGAATCGGGTGTTTTTATTTTATTAATTTGACGACTTTATTCGCCAAATGGAGACGAAGAAGGTGTACCATGCACGATGAAAGGGCGTGGTTCAGCAAATAAAAGCAATAAAAGGTACAGGAGAATTGATCAAAGATCAAATTAAAAGTAATCGAAGTTAATATTATTATGTTATGAAAAACATAGAAATAGTGTTGAGTTTATTATTACTGGCTCGAGCAATCTCGATATAACCACGCGCCAATTACCAAACAAAACAGTTTGCATCGTAAGAATCACGCATCCCGTTTCAAGGCAGCGTGCCTCGGAAAGCGTAGATCATTCTCGGCTGTAAACGGTTACGTTTTGTTTGAGGGATTCATTGTCGACATCTTCTGGCGCCAGGTGCTGTTTACGACTCTAAACACACGGGCAAATATCAATGGCTGGAGATTTCGACGGCGTATCGCCGGCAGGAAAAACTCACCGTGTATAATCTTTCAATTTTACTCTCAAACACGAAAATATTGCCCTCTGGTAAATAAAAAATACGTCATAGACAATGGCTGAATTAGAATTATCGTGAGACCAAAAATACACAATCTGTCAACTCAAATTGAGTACTAATTGTCTTCTAATTAATTCGCGTAACAGAGGTTCTACACAAATCTCATAATCTTCGACGAGCTAGAGAACTTTCTCCTTTATCTAGTTTCTTTCTCCCGCAGTCCATCGCTGTAACAATTCCACTCGATCACAAGAGCTACAGCCATTTTTATAATTATTATCCATCCGCGACATTTACAGCCGTTGCTTTTAATACCAGACAGGTGCAATTTATCGGACAGCGTTCCATAAACGTTCAAGCGATGCAATATATTTCTCAGACGCCGCGAGGCCGTCCGATTAACGGAGTCCCTATCCGTTATATTTACACTGGTCTGTTTACCCTTTACCTGTAATTCATATTTAGCAAACGTACCGTCGTCATTTATCAGAGGCTCGAGACGCGTTATACATGCGGGACGCGTAACGTATTTGCAAAATTTACAAATGAATCGACCGACTTCGGACGAGGTTAGCCGCCATCTTGTATCTTGAGGAGACATTCCGGCCTCAAAAGTAAATTTCTAAGTCTTTTTCAGGAATTTTTTACAAAAAAATCGTAAGACCTTTTCACGTGATTTTTGACACACACATTCGTTACCATTTTACGCGTACAGGTTAATTTTTTCAACCGAAAACAATTGAAATTGTGCAAGTTATTTAACTCCTCGTCTTTCGTGGTTCCTATTATCGGTTAACCTTACGGTCGATAACGATCGAGAATGTTACGCGATTCTCTGGTCTAGCTTGTTCAACTCGAAAGGTCGCCGGTGGCAGATTAATCCGTGCAACTGGCGTTAATCGCGGAAACTCGGGGTGTATCAGATTTCGCGCTTCCTGGACGAAATACGACACCGCGCAGATCTTCGCGATTCTCTCGCGAATCCTTCCGCTCGAACGCAACTCTTTTAATAACGAGCCTCAAAGTCTGACACTGGCCTGAATTCTATTTACGTGACTCAAAAAAAAAAAATCACTGCTTCCTTTATCAAATTCGACGATACAATTGACTAGCCATGGTGGTCACTGATGACCGACACTCGAGCTTACGTTTTTTTAATAATTTCATTGGAGATGCTGTGGAATACCAAGCACGTGTGCCACTGAATTACCGAGTATTTTTACTTTTATAATTTGAAAAGATATTCACCAACTTTGGAAGCCATACGAACGAAATTTGAAAAACTTTCACCGTATCGTCACCAATTACGTATATAAATCCAATTATCAGCTGCATGTCTAATCTGTCGTATTTATTTGCAGGGATTAAACATGCAACAGATACACTTAAGTTATTCGTGACGTTATTGGCTATAGAAGCTCTCGTGAAAAAATATAAGTTCAGTATCCCGTGTCAAAGTTATTTAATCTCGTAACATTATCGCGTTGTCGGTAATAAAATTATTGCCTAATGCAATATTCTTCATTAACGAGGATAACCATGGTAACAGTATCGAAAACTTGTTTACATTTTTTAAAAATTCACATATTCAATGATACGTTCTCCAAATTTTTGTTTTGAAATTTTCAAAAATAACATCTTACATTATATTCGAAAATCTAACATTATTTCGTTAGTCACTGACACAATTAACACAGTGTTATTAATAGAACGAAAGAAACGAATGAATATCTCTGAGAGGACCAAATTTTCAGGCTGAATCGACAATTTTGAAGTTTTGCGCGACGGTTCAGTCGCGTAAAAATGAAAAATCTTCGTGCGCCTCAACCTCGCGACTCGTCCGATCTCGTTAGTTTAATTAAAAGCTCGTTATCGAAGCCGACGGCATTGCAGTCGCAATAAGACGCGACAGTGAGCTTTTGCACCCGACGATATTAACGCGTTTAATCCGCGGCGGGAGAGCATCTCGAAAGTGACGCCGAAATTCGGAAGTGTCACGTTATGTCCGGCCGAGGAAAAGTGAACTCCGCTTCCGGCGGGAGGACGAGGATCGTCTCGTCTCGAAACAGATCGAACGCTGCTCGACGTCGCGAGAAACGAGACAGCTGGTTGGTGTTATTCAAAGAGGTAGAATACGTCCTTTGTAAATCAGTTTAAAAAAAAATTTATAAATAATCGTTTCAAGGTTTGTTTAAAAATCATGGGAAAAATATGGAGCGCGATGGATGTAGAAATAAATTAGGAATATTTGGGTATGTTTTTCTACCTGTTGGTTGATGAAATCGAACGATTGTTTGAAATAATACCGTGAAAGGATAATTCGCGACTGGCTATACAAACACGAGATCGTCGAGTTTTCGAGCTCCCGTTCTTTAAAATTAGTACCGTTCTCAATTGACGCCTACGAACGACACACACGATATCTCTTCCACTATGGAATAGCGCCATTATAATGCGCATGGAATAAATTACTGGCGGCTAATGCGATTCAGCGTTTTACCGGTGTTGATCGAGCCCTTCCGGCTCGAATTTCTTTCCACGATGAATCCTGAACGTTTTCAAGGAAGCTCCAATTCGTTGACAATGGATCGAGTTAGCCGTTCGAAAAGGGACGGATGAGTTGGGTGTGAAAAAATAGTCGGTGCAACGAAACTGGCACTTGTCGCGGAATCGAAGGGCTGAAATCGTGGGAATTTCTGTTGCGAATCAAACAAACTTTCACTTTATAACACGTTAGAAGGTACTTTATTGTTTTCTCTTAGATCTTTTACAAAAAATTATATTAATTTTTGATAATAATTTTCGATCCACCAACTGTTATTTGCATAAAAGTTTCTAAGTATTCTTTACTCGTTCAACCACCAATACATTGGTTGTATTTATGCTGTATTTCTATAAACAATTAAAATTTTTGCTAAACTATTTGTTCTTTAAGTCACGAAAAATTCGTTATAGATGGAAACAAGTGTTCATTCGTTACTCGTTGAATAAAAGTAAAAGTTTCAATCATAGAATGGAATATTTAGTAACTTTGATCGTTTGGTCGCAAACAAGATACGAAGCAGTAAGATATTCGTCGTTTTAGCACTTCTGTAAGTGTGTTTCGTCGATTCTCTGTTTACTATTCTAATTTGATGGACGACCATCGAGGATTGGAATAAAACCTTCGATGTCGACCACATCGGTCGTTTTGCTTGAACTTTTGCTTTCGCGAGCGGAGGATCCGCTTTCATCGGCTGGCGAAATGTGCACGTTTACGTGCAATCAGCGATTTCACGCAGGTTCGCGAATTACTGTACCGATAAGGAGATGGCTTGTCGTTGATAAGAAATGCCACCGACTTTCAGTCAGTCAAACGAAGTCGGTGGTACATCGCCGGGTCTGCTGAAGCTCGTCAACGAACGCGAAAATTAAAATAACATCGATATGCCAGAGTGTACAAAAAGAAATAAAAACTGGAACGGTGTTTATTAGAATGTGTGTCTTGCTCTTCTCGCTCTACTTAGATTTTTGCAAGAAAATTAAATAACGATATCAATTCAATACCCATTTGTCGAGTCGTAAAATTCGTGGTATTAAAGTATTGAGTCTCGATCCTCCGGATAAGCAAAGTTTACACAGTCTTAGTGAAAAGTTTCGACCAGATGCTGAAACCATAAGAACTACATTTTTATATAACGTGTCTCGCGATAAGAGATGCTTCGACAATGCGCTTGTTTCGCGAAGAACATCGACGAAACAAGGACAGAACGCAACGCTGAATTCTCTTTCCGTGAGTAAGTCTTTTAATCATCGAGCAAAGAGAGCACGCCAAGTTCGCATTGGACGCGCTAATCGTTCGCAGATCGCTGTAATAAAGATAGAGGAAATGAGTTTCGCGATCGCTTATATGGCGTTGAGCGACAGCGAAGATACGTCGGACGAATCAAAAATAATATGGCGAATCGAGTCGCGAGGAAGCGCGAAGCGTTACGCGCAAAATAAATCGAAGGATTGACCGGGAGAATATCCTTCGGAAAACGAATCTCGAAACGCGAACCAAAACGGTGATATTTTTGGCACGCGGTTTCAAATAAAAAAAAATAAACTTAGGCGGGGAAGGACGATGGATCAGGATATTAGGATGCTCGACGTCTCGGTGGAGAAATTCCAAGATAAGAATCCCTGACAGAGGACACGGTTTCTCCCTCGCAGCGTTCCGCGTGACGCAACGAGCCCATTTTCTCGCAAATGAAAAGAGCAAACGTTATTGTTAGTAACTGATAAGTGGAGACCACTGGTCAGGTATTGGCTCGTACATATAAGACGTCTTCATTGCTCGGTGACCAGTAGATCCTCTACTAGCAAACTCGGCAGCTCCCGTTTTGCCATCCACGATCAGTTGTTTAGCCAGCCTCGAAGGCGCCTAACATCTTCGCGAGGATTACGAGACATCGAAGATTTCGCCTTTGATTTCACGACGAAATCACGAAAGAAGTTCGAATCTCCGAGAAACGATCGAGATCAGTGTTACCGCGAGTTTTTTCTTTTTTTTAAAGACGAATCGATCGATGATCCAAGTGCGTTGGATCCTTCTGGGTAAGTTTGCTCAGTTGCCGTCGCAGATGCGGCAAAATTAAATCGTCGGCGTTCGAAGAGGATCATCAAAGAGAAAAAAAGATCGTCGATAAAAATGTATTCTTTTTTCGACGGGGCCGCGATCGTCGCGATAAGCGTGTGAAAGATCGATTACGATAACCGAAAGACCCGGTGAAGTGTGATAATTAATGACGGTGGAATAACGACGTCTTTCTACTCAGCTACCGAGTTTCAACGTTTCGGTAATTCGCATCGAGTAGCCCACTTCTGCAACGATTATGATTACCGACGGAGAAAGATAAAGGCTCCTATCGATCTTGGATCTTATTAGAATTATCGGCATTTAATTAGAGAGGAAGTTCACCCGGGGATCTCTAAATTCGTCGAATATTTTTCGAAATAGGACTTTACTCGATGAAACGAGAAATTGAGCACTAGAAAGTGAAAACAACAGCCAAAAAGTACTTTCGAGTTGCAAATCGAAGATGAATCGAGTAAAAGACAATTAAATACTCGCGAACGAATTGAACTTTAAAGGATAGGAACAACATGGACGCTGATACTCCGAAGAGCCCGGTTTTAAAATCGCCATCGTCGGATCGGGGGGACAAGCAAACTCTATTGCCACCCGCGTCACCCACGACTCCCATAATCGTTCAACTATCGAAGAGTCCAAATGCGTCGTTCAGAAGCAGGTAAATGGTATTTCAGCAACTATTTGTCGATAGGAATTGCGCAGTAACTTCCTCGCTAATAAATGGAATTGTGGGATTAATCATTATTCATTAATGCTGGAAATTAATGTTCTTTGCGCGTCCGTCGTATGGATTGACATTCGTTTGGATCAGCTTCTGCCTCCGTTCTCTTAATTATAGCGAACATGTTGATTCGATGAACGATTAATTCTCGATCGGTCAACCTTACGCGTCCTTTCGACTTCCATATAGTTTTCTCGCTGGACGGAAACGAATTTTCGATTTTCGTGACAGCTACGAGGAAAGAGTGAAATATTTTAGTTTCACGGCCAAACGTTCGCTGATAACGTTGTCAGACATTGCGGCTAAAACAAACAGTATATTTAAAACGTTATCAATTTTTTTGTTCGGGTCATCGGCAATAAAATTTCATGTTGTCGGACACTGTGACCAAAACAACACGTATATTTATTATGTTAATAATCTGTAATACGTAAAAGTGAAACATCATGATTTATAAATGCGAACGGTCTTACGAAAGGGCACTTTTGCAAAGATAGGAAACATTAAGATAATCGTAAGAAGAGTACAACAAATATACATCGATAGCTTCAATTTATAGTATTTTGTTAATTTTTATTATTGTTATCGATAAAATGGTTGCTCATAGAAAAATCGAAACAATTGAATTCTTTTCCACCTATCTAATCAACGATACCTTGAGAAGAAGGAATTGGACGTTTGGTTCTTTCGTACATTTAATGTTTGATTTAAAGTTTAGCGTAGAGAATTCGCAAGAAAGACTTAGCAACTGACAAATTGCAAAAACTCTGAAGTTTTACAGATATAAAGAATATATTATCACGTTAAAATAATTTTAGAGGTAAAAACATCCCTTTCTTCGTCCATTACCACGCAGTTTTTCATTAATTATTAATTCATTTTAACCATGTAATTTTATGCAATATTTGTCGTACGTATTATGCAGATTCAAGCAATTGCGAAACTTCACTTCACTAGGAATTGTATTACTATTCGTCACTTCGTATTGCCACCTGTATAGTGGTTTTTGCCATATTTGTCACATAATTATAAAAAATGATGTATGCAAGCAGGTACTAGGTCTATTAATCTTGCTTGCTATTTCTCAAATAGAGAAGCCTGCATCGTAGTTTCCGTCTATTTTAATTTCCTCTTTCAAGTCATCGCATCGAATCCTTTTTCATCGCAATTTTGATGCAAGGGGAATTATTTGCAATATTATACAATTTTCTTGTATTACACAATGAAGCAACAACCGGAGGAAAATATATTTCTGTTATATCAAACTCGGTCTTTTAATGTTTCTATTTAAAAATTGAGCCAGTTTGTTTACATTCACTGATTCACGCCAACGATACTGCAATAATCGTTCCAGCAGTAAATCAGGATATTCCTATTTTCGTCCACTGTGCTCTACAGATATATTTTGTCGAAACTTCTATTACGAACTATCCTTATCAATGGCTGTCTGATAACGAAGAAGCTCGAAACCGTTGGATATCTTGACGAACTGTTTGTCGAGATCGTGCAAAATCGCGTACAATATGACTTCGTGCGTAGTTATTCGAACGAAAACAACCCGATCGGAACGCGAAAAAGTAAATCGTTTCGAGGATCGTTGCCGCGATCGATAATAAAATCACGCAGTTCGCCGGGTGTCGACGGCTCGCCGGTTGATCCACGAGTGACAATAAATAAATTGGTAGATAACAGTTGCTCGGTTATCGTTCCAAGTCAAAATGGCGACTTCCTTTTTGCCGTACAAAAGGAAGGCGAGCCCGAGGAGTCTCAGCCGGATCATCGAACCGGTCGCAGCTACGACACGCGGTGCTCCTCGCGGATCGGTGAAATTCGTCGCGCGTATCGATCGATGTTTATCGCTGGTCGATCGACACGATCTTCGAATTAGGCGTTATTCGCGTCGTTTGATCGCGTTTCTTCGTGCCGCGAGCAAAGCAACGTTGACAGCGGACGCATGTGGCAACAGTGGTGCGCCGATAAAGCTGTTGATTGAATCCTCTTAATGTCGCCGGAGCCATTTTTGCTCGTAGACATCGTGTGACGGCTATGGCCAAGAGAAACGAACGTGCCGAGCAGTACGTTTCGCGGAGCTAACGCGATCCTCCATCGATGCCACCACGGTCCACGATGAACGTGATATCGAAAGGAATTGGGTCAGTTTGAAATCGTCTCGTCGAGGGGACAGAAAATTGCCGCGATTTCGAGATGCTTCTGGTTGTCATGGAAAGGTTCAAGAACGATGTCGTACAATGCGAAGAGATCCATCGTGAGTATCTTCCTCGAAATAATTACCAAGCTGTCGGATAACTATTCCCGTCCGGCGCGGTTAATCGCTCGACAGGTATTTTTTCGCGTTTCGTTGTTTCCGGAGAACGTGACGTTCGAACGAGGATCGATAACGATCGTTCGCGTTCGAATCGAGCAAGATCTTCGTCGAGGTTTCGATCGGTACGAATCGTAAGAATTTTTACCGTAAATCGTTGCTCTGCTCGGACACGTGGAAATCTTGACAGCGGTTTCTCACGGCGCGAACGATTCGTTACGAAAAAGGAAGCAACAAGCTGACGATCGACGCTCGAAGAACAATGCGATCTTTGAAATTTGTTATTCAAATTCTCTCTGATCTCTCGTTGGAATACATTAAGACGCGTGTACAGAAGTCGCGTTAAGCCGCGAGAAGGCCTCGGTGACAATTCCTTGCGACACGCGTCGCGAGCGTTCAATGGCGTAATTTATTCTTACGAATTGTGCGAGAGAAAAAAAATATTGCATCTCCGAACGACGGAAGATGTAACGAGAATTAACACGCTGACAGATTGCTCTTTGGTGTTTCTACTCGCGTCGGACGCGTGTGAATTATAATTAGCGTCAGTTTGCATAAACTGAAAACTGGCAGTGATTGCGGTACGACTTATGGTAATGAGTTTTTGATCAAACGTAGTAACGACAATCCAATTGTAAAAGGCATACATGAAAAGATACAAATCGGTGATTTTTAACGTTGTTCCTTTGCACTTGCGAAGATCGTCTTCGAGACCGATGAAATTCTATGACAATACTCACGATGAATGGTCAAGCATTCACTATAATAAGTGGTCGGAATAAAGAAGGTTTATCGCGTCAAACGATCATTGAGGAAAGTAATCGCTCGACAAATTCTATTATGGTACAATTTGAGTTAAGTATTTCGTTTTATGGCACGAAACAACAATGGAAATTCTGAAGTGTGGGAGATATTTTCAAATAATAATAACAACATAGATAGTGAGTGTCAAATGTTTCTCTTTCCCACATGTCAACAACGGTACAGATAATAATACAAATCTGACGATTGTTATCGTCTATTTAGACGTACTCGCGCTGGTGTCACGGATCATTAACCACAGATTTCAATTAGTCCGCTATCAATCAAAAAATGAAAAGTTCTATCAGTGCATTCTGACATTTCTGACGTTCCAAAGTCCGATCCATAGCGAAACGTTGAGCCACTATTCGATAACGCTGCAGTTTTACATTCCCAAGCTTTCCAATCATTATAGTTAGTCATTTTAAGGCGAAAAATAAAACAGCCAATCGTTGATAAGTGCAGATTGTTATGCTGTTGTGGTAAAATCTGGGGGAGGAGGAGCAACTTTTAAAATAAAATGGTTCACGCGTAACGATAGTCCCGTATTTAAGAGAAAGATAATATTAATTATTTTAATCGTACATAATTGCTTTTGCAGTTGATATATCCATTTTCATTAACCATCCACTCTTGTCCCTGACTTGTAAACGTAATCGATTACCTTCGTATATTAATGCACAAGTTATTTTTTAACACTTTAAGGATCCGTGCGACGCAGCAGATCAAAGAAACATTTTTAACGACTCGACGAAATTAGATTATCGGAACCACGTCGATCGTTTGCCAACTGAAGACGTTATAAAATTTCAGGAGCCGGTACAGGGCAGGTCCAACGCGCAAGCTGCGTCGTCGAGCCGTACTGAAGAACGGGGACTGCAACGTTCTGCAATCCCGGATCTCCAGACGTTCGTTACGCTTCCTCCAGGACATCTTCACGACTCTGGTGGACACCCAATGGCGATGGACGTTACTCTGCTTCAGCCTGAGCTTCGTGCTCTCCTGGCTGGGGTTCGCGGTGATCTGGTGGCTGATCGCCTTCACCCACGGTGACTTCGAGGAACGCCACCTGCCTCCGTCACAGATCGAGAACAACTGGACGCCCTGCATCTACAACATCTTCTCCTTCACTAGCTGCTTCCTGTTCAGTATCGAGACCCAGCACACGATCGGTTACGGCAGTCGTTCGACCACCGAAGAGTGCCCCGAGGCGATATTCGTGATGTGCATCCAGAGCATAGCCGGCGTGATGATACAGGCGTTCATGGTCGGCATCGTGTTCGCGAAGATGAGCAGACCGAAGCAGAGGACGCAGACGTTGCTGTTCTCGAGGAACGCCGTGGTCTGCCAGAGGGACGGCGAGCTGTGCTTCATGTTCCGGGTGGGCGACATGAGGAAAAAGAGCCACATCATCGGGGCCGCGGTACGAGCGCAGCTGATCAGGTCCAGGACCACCAAAGAGGGCGAGATACTGTCGCAGAACCAACGGGAACTGGCCATAGGCACCGACGGCCAGGACGGGAACCTCTTCTTCATCTGGCCGACCACCATCGTTCACAAGATCAACCAGGAGTCCCCGTTCTACAACATGTCCGCCGAGGACATGCTGACGGACAGGTTCGAGGTCGTGGCCATCCTCGAGGGTACCATCGAGTCCACCGGGCAAACCACCCAGGCCAGATCCAGCTACCTGCCGCAAGAGATCCTCTGGGGCCACAGATTCGAACCAATGGTCGCCTACTCGAAGGAGAGGCAGGGTTACGAAGTGGATTACTCGCTGTTCAATAGCACCACGCAAGTCGATACGCCTTTGTGCTCGGGCAGAGAGCTCGCCGAGTTTTACAAGGTGCAGGAGGAACTTTGTCATGGGAACGGTAAGCCTCCCGAACCTATCACCGCGACTAGTGGACGACTTAGCATCGACGGGTACCTAGCTAGAGCGTTAAGTTGCCGATTCGCTGACAGAAAGAAGATAGCAAACGCTTGCAATCCGAGGCGGATCAGTTGATCGTTATCCAATCCGATCCTAAATTAGTTGGAATTATCTCTAGTTAGCAACCGCGATAATCTACGGTGGCGTGCATACGTATACTTACGAACACTTGTTTCTTATCGTATAGGAAGGATAGAAATAAATTTCCATTGTGGTAACTCTTATTGTACTTAAACTTTATTTCTATAGTGTTCGTAAGTATTGTATCTATATAAAACGAAGTTGGTATGACATAACACATTCGCGCGTTCGTAAGTATACGTCCGCCATTATACGCAACTGTTAGGGACGTTTTTAGTTAATTCTCCCCCGCTTTCGATAGTTTGCCCATCAAAACCCTGTCCCAGTAGCGTGTTTAACGCCATCGAAATTAGTATAACCGTGCATCGGATAATTCTAAACGACATCGATGTTTTGCCAGATTGACATGTCCGGGAGCAATTAATAACTTCCGTCGCGCATCCGTCAGCACCATGTCGAATAATAACACGTTAGAAAACAAACCACTAACGACACGGCAAGGTTAACCACTCGCACTAATTGTAACACACACGCGAATCGGACTAATCGATCGGACTAGTATCCCGTGCACGCCTCGTTCCTGCTTCCTTGTGCTTGAAAATGCTTTTGCTTTGCCGCCTTGATTTCGTAGCTCTGCGAACCGCTTTCGTTCATGTCTGACTATTGGTGCTGGATATACCGTAGATGGAGGCCTGCGGAAAATTCCTAGCGAGCCGAAATCTGTGCCGGTGATATCGAACGTCGTCAGCCAATCCGACGCCACGGAGTTCCTTGTCCCTCAAGGATCATCGAAACTTCACATTGACATTCCATCGATCGACGACTGCCCGGGAGTCTAAGCGAATATCGGGAGATCAGGCGAGGAAGTAAACGAGGAACGAACGAAAAAAGATACCAAAATAGATTCTCGCAGTATTCGATGTCGAGGCGAGAGAGGATAAGCCAGAAGAATCCTATTTTTTTTTTTTTGTCCAAGAGATACCAAAGAATCACAGATCTGCGTCGAACGTGACAAATTTTCTATGAACTTTCCGAGGCTGACGAGTTCCGAGAGCACGACGAAGGAATTAAAGAAGCTCGACTTCGATCTGCCTGTTTCGTGCTTGTGTCTGTCCTTCGTGTTGTCCCGACGTGCTCTTGCCGAAGATCGTTTCACGACACGATAACGATGCAATAGGGAAGTAGCTGGTAAAGGGTTATCGACTTACAAATACAAGACATCGTACTGTTGGGTGATTTAGATAGCCAGTACAAGCTCAAGATCCAAATTCAAGCATGCATTCCCCACTATATTCCCCCCCAGGACGATTAACATTCAAAGAACTAATTCGATATTCATTGTTGTTTAAAAGATACTTCCGAGCCCTTCCTAAAATCGTTATAGAGATCGGTAACATCCACTGGTCGAACAACCAGCGCTAAAGCGTATTTTCCAAAAAAGAAAACCTCTCCCTCCCCCTAAGCAATAGACTACTTTCCAGGTGTGATAGTCGACGAGGATTTCGTAGGGGAGTCCTGCACAGACACTCAGTGCCACTGTGGTCATCGTCCAGCGATCGCGTCGAGTCACTATCAAACGCATCCTCTGGTGTACGTGGACAGCGTCAGAAGCGAGAATAGCGTCGACGAAACGGCAGGCTTTCGGAATGCTTTAAGACCTCCAGCCCCGTCTCGAGAGCACGGCCAGTACAAAATCCTAGATTTAGATAGCGACGACATTCAAGTGTTGAGCGAGGTGGAGCTGCAACAGCTACCGGAAGCAGTGAACAAGGAGATCCTGAAGAACAGCCAGGAGATCGTCTACGAGGGACTGGAAACGACCGAAGGGAATCCGCTTTTGAGACCAGTCGGTGGTCGTCGGAGCGTGATCAGACATCCGTTATTGGACGAGGAAAGAAAATCGTGGAACAGCTCCAAGAGGAGCCATTATCATAGAAACATTCTGAGAAGCTTGGAGGAGGACAGAAGGTCCCTGGACGGGTCCAGGAAGAGTTTGAGCGGATCGAGGAGGTATCTTCTGGTGCCTCTGGACAGCAGAAACTCGGAACCGGGTAACAGGGAGAATTTAATTGCCATCAGACGACACACAGGGAGCAGGGAATGCTTGAACGTCGCGAGGAAGAACCTGAAAGGATCGAAAGAGACTCCCGAGACCAGAGGGAAAGTGAACTCGAACGAAGACAGATTGACGATCGAGACGGAGAAGTTCTCGAAACAGACGTCTCCTCGTCTGCAGGGGACCGCTATATCCGAAGATAACAGGACGTCGTTGTCGGACCCTAATCTGTCACCGAACGAATACGTTTCTTCTGTAAAGTGTCGCCAATCGCCTGGTCCGGTGTCGCCGATCTCGCCGACGTCGGATCTCTCCCCGGAGTCGGGATTCTACGAGGGAGGACAGTGGAACTCCAGCCCAGAGTACATCAGGAAGGATCTCCGGCTTCCCAATGTGTCTGTGATCACGAAAAATAGAAGAAGCTACGAGAACGCGCAGCTACAGGACGTTAACGAGGCCTTGTCCAGGCCCAATAGTGAAAACAGTTCGCTAGACAGTGAAGAATCGACGAAGAATCTAGCGAACGACAATATTCCTCAGAAATACGGGGAGAAGAACGTCGTTACTAAACAGGCAATCTCTTATACAAGTGTCTGATACGAATAGATAATTCTATGTGCCTTTCTCACGAACGTATCGCTTCCAAGTGCCAGTGCAAACGTGTTACACGGTCGAGACTAGCGTTCACATCCGAAACACGGTATTCTTAATCGATCGTTGCTCGATCCTCGACTACTTACATCGGAGAAGTTAGAACGAAACAGTGGAATCACTGATTCTAGTCAAATTTTATTCGATGAATCTTAAACGGAAGGAAGAATCGTCAGAAAATTGTTGGGTAAAGTCAGTGATTCTACCGGATACGGCATCTTCTTGTTTGGAAGAACGCCTGGAGGTGTAGTTTTGAGCGCGATGGTTCCAATGGTAGAGTTAAGGCGTCGAATCGCGAGCGGATGTGTTATCTGTTACAACAAAACTGAGAACTAAAAACATCAGCGTTTGATATCTCGAAAATTGTACGAATCAGGAGGCTTACATTTTGCTATTTAGTGCTTTGACATTGTCAACGGATGTCATGAGCTAAAAGAGAAATATAAGATTGTGAAATCTTTAAGGGACCGAAGGGAAGCAGAACCCAGTGTTCCTCCATCGCGTGAACATTTTCCAAGTTTATCGAGCTGTTCTTTCCGTATGAAATTTGTTAACAACGATAAGCTCCGTCGATACTCGCGCGCATCTACCATCTCTTCGTTTCATTAGCTAAGAGTAAATTTAAATAGGTAAATTATTAAACGAAACGAAAGTTCCCTGAAACTTGTATGTATTTTATTCACGGTGAACCGAACATTTGGAAAAAATACTCTGCGACCGCTTCCAAAACGACTGTGTCGAGAAACCATAATCATGGAGGTAAGTAAACAGGAGCATCGACGAACGTAACAGACATTTATGCGCGATCAAGACGCATTGTTTCAGAATGCACTGCAGGTGTATGGAAATTTATATTATTCTCCGACTCGCCACGATTGTATTAAATTGTAAATCGCTGTGAAACCGCAGGTCGGTTCGCGCGAAGCTACCACGCCGTAATTTAGAGAAATTGTACATGCGATTTTCTTCCTTCTTTGATATATAATTTCGAAGACGAAGCACGCAGCGCTTTTCTTTTTCCATCGTATTAACCCTCCAATTGTTTTACGAAATAAAATTTCACGAATAAAATTTCGATATTCACAGTTGGTCCACTCATTAGATTTAAACGCGAAAATCGTCATTGGGCGTAAACGAGAGTACATTTAGTATGCGACGAAACTTGAATGTGACTGATTGCGAGGTCGCTGTCATCTCGATCCTTTCCGTGCTTTAATAAATAAATTTATTACGCTTTTTTCAAAACCATGTCGGCGACGAAGGAGAGAAACACGCCTCGAAACCTGTGGATTGTATCTTTAGGACGCAAGTAGTCATCTAACAATAGTGCCTTATTTTTTTTTTTTCTTTCTATTCGTGCGAGAAAGGAAGGAACGCGTGCGTTCACGGTCAAAAATAAATTAACATTGATATTTATTGCTTCCAGAATATTGTAATTACTAGCTGGACATTTGTATATAACGTAATAATTAAAAATACCGTTGATAGAACGTCGATCGATACAAACGACAGCTATAATAATTCCCGCTTTTAAGCGACAACATCCGTTGGTTTTTATTTCGAATTAAGATCGAGTCACGCTTGTATCATTCGACGAAAAAAAGTGGAGAGATAGCTACAGCAAATAAATCTCGGTTGCCAAAACTTTATATGTAAAATAGCAATCTTTATACTTGTCGTTACATATATTAATAACAGTATCATCTGTGAATTGGCAAAGACGATCTTGTTCACACTATTTTTAATTGATGTTTCAATCATTTTTGATGAAAGTAGACAATATGTAAACATTTCAATTTAAAAGAAGCTATCGTTACGCAGTGGAATAATTTAAGGGGGTTATTCTACTTTGAAACCGTAAAGTAGAATAGCCTCTTCGTGTATTAAAATGGCGATGTAACTATTCCCTGTACAGGTAAGTGCTAATTTCTTTTGTCGAATCTTTAATTTGAAACCTTTCAGTGGAATACCCGTTAAAATAAAATTTCTATTTTGTCAGTGAGAATTTACAATCCAGATTCAAGAATGAAGCGTAGGAAGATTATAATAAAAAATTGCTACACCTTCAAGAAAGATTGTTAGCGCTCAAACTGTACGAAACTGTTTTTTCATTCCAATAAAATTTACAACAGCGAGAAAACTACAAAAATAAAGAATAATCTTGTTAAATCGTTTATAAACAAGCCGATAGTTTCGAAAAACTGTTATCAAAGAATAGAAACAACCCTTTAATTTTCACCCTGTAGAAACTCGAAGGCTCCACGACGCGCGCTTTACGATCTCTTCGATGATTCGTTCTCGACTATCTTCGCAGCGTATTTAAATATTCATGGAAATCCGGCGTATAAACAAACGAAAACGGCGCGATAACCTTTTTTCGTAAAGTCCACGGTAAGAATTCCGATTCCGGGAGCAGCCGTGTGTTTTTCTTAGACCGAAACGCGCCTCGATGCTCCACTTTGAACATTATGCCAGCCAATTATTGCGAAACGCTGACTTGGCAAACGATACTAACAGCATAAACGGGCCGGTACGAGGACGACATTAGCAGTGCGAAAGTATCGACATTATGCCAAGCACGAAGGGTAAGTGATAGGAAAAGAAACACGTAACCAAACCAGTCTTTTTAAAGCACTCGTTATCGAGCGTCGTCGGCTCAATTCTCGAGAACAAAAGGACGATTGGACCTATCTCGAGCGTGACGATCGGGTTTAAAGTTCGGTTTAATTATAATTTTACAATCGACATGAAATATAATTTCGATGATTCGTCGATGACGCTCGATATTAATTAAATGCTACTGTTGGGACTTCTTTTTGCCTCGAAACGCGCGCAGATCCATTCGGCGAGGATGCGTCGCTCCTTTACCCGGACAATCGCAATGGAAGATGTCATGGATTCGCTGGGACGCATTTCGAAACTCCAATAATTAAAGGTGTTATCAGCCAGCTGAGACGATGGCCAACGGATCTGTTTTACGCGTTTCTGGCAGCGTGCTTGGTAATCGGAAGCCTGGTCTTGTTGATCTTCTTCACGATGGTTATTTGCCTTCCCGCCGCCATTGGTAACAGGTGTCGGTATGAACGATAATATCTCACGATAATATTTGCAGCGAGCAACTTCTTTTCCACTTCGACTGACAGCCGATTGAATTATAGAATTTTTTTTTTGTCAAGGTCTTCTGCAAATTCGGTCGAAAAGATAAGCTTTTTTTTCGTATATTTTTTGGACGTTCTGCTCATTTTTTTTATTCATATTTCGAGAGTATACGCAAATTTATGGCGATAACAATTGTAGAAGTTATTTATAATAATGTTTGTCCAGTTTGTATGATAAAACAGGTTGACACTTTTTTTTTTGGTGATCAAGAGTTAAATAAAAATCCTATCGAATCTTTTCGTAACTTCACCATTTACGAGACATTTGCTTGAATATTTATCAATGTGATAACAATAAAAAAAAGTTCACTCGAGCGTGTGCCCTACTTAACTGTGTTACCAAGCGTCAGCCATTGTTGTGTCCCAATAATGTATATCTGCTTACCTTTACGAGAAATACTCAAAGTGGCCACCTTCACCTTCACCTCATTGCAAGATTACAATCGTCGTGGAATAAGGTTTCTCAATATTTCAAAAATTCCAGTTTATCAGATTTGCCGGCAACCTTGTTGCGCACATTGGCGAAGTATTTCAACGCTGGCAATGAGTGTTGTATAAATAATATACGTGCGACCCCGGATTTAAAAAGCCAGTGAATTTAATTGAATGGAAATCATTTGTTCTAGAATTACATACGTGGCTATTTAAGTGAAAAGTGACGATGCGCCATCGTGCATAAACCGTGTCGTATGTCCAGTGAAACTTTGTTCAATTACACAAGTAATTAACATAAAATTTATTTATCTCCCGTTGAAGGAAACGAGGAGTTATCGATAATTGTATTCGAGCAGTTTAGTGGAATTAATTATACTTGCAACAGCAAAAAGCAACAGCGTCGTAAACAAAGGCATATCGACAGATACGAGTTACATGTTTTTATGGACGGATAAAAACACTGGAAAATATGAAATAAGAATGAATATGGAACGATTAAGCAAATATAATATACAAGTTTGTTTCGTCAATTCTTATATAACGTATAAGTTTTTAAATATATTTAATTTCCCAAAAAAGTATTCAAACCGTGCGGAAATTTTATTACGAAACTTCTGAAATTAAAAGTTTACCTAAATTCTGGCTTTTATTATATTTGTAAATTACAAATATTTCTTCTCGTATCTTTTGCCTCTTAAGATTCCATTGTGTTTGCTTAATCAAGATAAAAATTAAAATAACCTTTACGCGACTAGTATAAATGTACGATACTAATTTCTAATACTAATTTCAGATTGGAGGAAATTTCGATCATCGACATGAAATCATCGCCAAACGTTTATTTCTTCAAATTGGAGAACCACAATTGGTCCACCAGGGAGTTTTGTTACATCGAGACAGCCGCGCGAAGGCATCCGGATTTGGATGTAAAAATTTAATTGAACACATAAAACTCATCCAGTTTCTACGCTGACGAATAATAAAAATAAATTACTTAGGTCTATTTGATAAACTTACTGAAAGAGCAGCCTTTTAAGGAAAACTCGACCGAATCGATAGCAAATAAAACAAGACAGGAGCCCAAACTAAATGGTTCTATCGCGAGCAGCCATCTTTCAAAATTGACTCCGGAAGAGCAATTTGAGGAACAGCTCGTGTTTGGAAAATCGAATATAAAAAGGATCAACGTGCCGATCGACAAGTTCTTTAGACGGTAAGAATTTTTAAGAAAAAATTAAGAAAAATAAGACAAAACTAAAAAATTTCTAATCATTCTGAAAAAATTATTTTCGATCGCAAGGGTCAATTACAATCATTTTTGGTCAATGGACATACCCTCGAAATCCTAACCATTTTCGAGAAAAAAATTCAGTAGGTGCCTAAATTTTTTGGCGAAAAAAAAAATTTCAAATCTTTCTGAAAAAATTATTTTCGGCTTTGGGGGTTAATTACAATCATTTTTGTTGGATAGACATACCCCCGAATTCCTACGTATTTTCGAGAAAAAAATTCAGGAAGGTGGACAAATTTTTCGGCGAAAAAAAAAATTTCAAATCGTTCGAAAAAAATTATGTTTAGTTGCGGGGGTCAATTACAATCATTTTTGGTGAATACAAATACCCCCGAAATCCTACGCGCTTTCGAGAAAAAAATTCCTAACCGAAAATATAATGTCTGACCATAAATGATCGATTGGAGGATTTTAATGTTTCAAAATGCAAACAACGCGTGTTTTAGCGAAGAATATTTAGAGATTCTATGAACGTTCAAAAAATTGTTCGTTATAGGTAATACATGTTATTTTTATTTAGTACGAAATTGTCACATATCGCCAAACATTTGAACGACGAGGTTTTAGAAATGGCGGCGAAAGCACAGCTGCTTTGGACCGTACCAGGAATAGCTCTAAAACCGGAAATGTATTGCGCTTTGGACACCATGAAACGATTTCTTTGCAAGTGAGTGTAATTTTGATCTGGCTTTATTTGATAAAATCTGTAAAATTATGCGTCTACAGCAGAAACAAAGACGAATGTATATTAGACGCGCTTGCTACGATCGAACTGGAAACCGACATTCAGCTAACGGGAGTTCCGTGCCAGGCGTTCATGGGATTCCTCGTGCAGGAAATATCGAGGAACGACTTTAACGGGAGATACACGTTAATGGAAGCAGTGAGAACGTATTGTCCAAGGTGAAATATCAAACGAATTCAATCGATTCAATTGTAAGTGAAAGTCCCGTCCTGTTTCAGATTGTACTATTGCCCGGAAATCAGAATTCTCGACACGAAAACGAAATGCTCGGCCGAGTCTTTGGACTGTCCTATCGTTTACTCGAACGTCATAGCGGAGGACAATCTAAATCCTGGAAGCTTCGTAACATGACGAACGGCGTATCAATGTTTTATTACAGATTGTATAAATGTAGATTTTATAATACAATACAAATATTGTGTACAATGTTTTGAAGCGGTCTGTCCCGTCTGGGCTTTCGAATCTCTAGAAATTTCGTTCGTACATGTTTTTATTTAAACGTTCTCAGCTCGTAGAGACGGAGTACGCCCAACCATATCCAGATTTCTCCAACTAAATACGAAAATTTCAAACATGTGATCCATTGGGTACCGAAATTATTTCTTTGCATATGTTTTAATTTTTTTTAATTTTAATAAACCTTTTTTATGAATGTCGATAGAGTGTTAAGCGGCAAGAAATATTTTCCAACTCTGTTCCATACGAATTTTAAATAATGGAACGTACGTATTAACAACGCTGATCCTGCCGCGTAAGATAGAGCAGTTGGTAACGAACAATTGGAAACGAACAGCCAAACGACTACGATGGCGGCACTGACATCATACACCAGGTCGGTTGAGTAAAGAATTAACGATGGGAGACTCCAACGAGGCCTTTTCTACAATAATTAATAAATTAATGAAAAGAAACCGTACTTCTTCTTGTACAATTAAATTAATTCTTTCATATTATACTAGAATAAACGCCATGTTGGTCATTCGTATTTTTTTTATATTTTCATAAATATAGTGATTCTAAAAACTGAATAAAATTGTAGCTCCTTTCTGGACGAAGATTTTTCTTTCGTACAAAAATTGAGGAACCTTCTTTCAGAATTAATAAATAAAATATTAGCTCCTTTAAGAAATCGCAAGAATTCGCTGCTTTCGATCTCTTTTAGAAACGAATAACTCCGTAAACTCAAAAGTATCTCACCGATACGAGGGAATAGGCTAGCATACCAGTTGTCAGGAAGGAAATCAAAGAATAGGGTACAGAGTAACCTAAGCTCAAAGTGACAACAGCCTTCTGCTTGTAGCCTTTGACTATCTGACCGCTTTCCAGGATACTGTATTCGGTCTGACCGTAACGAACGCTATAATAGCTCAATACTAGCACGCAAGTTAACAATAACAGCGCTTGGCAAACTCGCAGCACTTCATTTTCGGCAGTAATCTTATTAGCAAGTCTTTCGTTTTTCGTCGTCGCGTCGAACGGGGTCTCCTCAATTTTTTTCATCGAAAATTCATAGTCGATCGCCTGGAAAAAGAGTAACGAACAAGAAAATTATTTTTATTAGCTGTACGAATAGATCCATTAATTTTTTCGACTCACTGTCCGGTTTCCCTCGCGTGTCGTTTGAATTTTCTCAACAGACGTGTTCATTGTGAGTTATTTTTTTATGAGAACCGAAAACGGACAGGACTTAAGCTCTCTGAAGTGAAACGTGATCATAAACGTTTCGCCGTTATTCAAATTGTTTGCGGATGACGGACCACGCGAACGTGGATTTGTAAATTGCACTGTATAACCTGGCAAAAGAGATTTCGGCGGACGGAAAAATGATCAAGTGTTCTACATGAATCGCGTGGAAATTTAGAAAATGGCACGTCGTTGCAAACGCTCCCTTCTATCCAGTATGGCGGTGATCATCGGTAGCAGTAAATATTCGGTGAGCGTTTGTAACTCGCGTGTTTTTGCGCGTCGATTTTCGCCATTAAATACCCGAGTTTTGTTTAAAAAACAATCAAGAAAACATTTTTTTTTCCACTGTTGAAAATGAATATAGACGAGCCGGAAAAATTGAATTACCTGGCGAACTTCGAGAAACCCTTGTAAAAATAATTACGAGCACTCGTCCTTCGACGTCGTTCGCCTAAATCGAAACACCGCGCGTACTCGTAAAACGATAACAACGAAAAATACGACTGTTCGGCCGATTAACCTTAACGTGAATTTTGATTAATTTGTTATCGATCATTTAATGCAAGATCAATGAACAATGAGATTTCGAAGCAAACGGAAAACTAGCGAACATAACGGAGTTTTAGTTAGTTTTCTTCAGCATCGAGTAAAATAAATTTTTAATTAAGCAGAATTTCAAAGCGTATAATGATCATTTTTATAGCGGATCGGACGGCTGGCGTGCACCCTTTGCGATCACTATGTCATGGGAAACTCGATCTACGTCATCATGCTGGGCCTCATTGGAACCGTTAGTCAATCGTAATACTCATTAATTCTTTCTGCATAATAGAATATCGGACGAATTCATGAATCTGCAATATGTACAGTGAGTCGGAAAATTATTGGCACAGACGTATATCTAAAAAAGAAAGCGTCGATCGAATGATTTGCAAGAGTACTCGCACTCTTAGCTAACAAAATAATACGAATGGCTAACAATATTTATTGTGAACAAAGAAAAAAAAGAAGTTAAATACCTTTGTGTAAATAAAAATATAGGTTTCCATTTAAAAAAAAAAACAAAGTTATTCAAAGATTTATGAAGCTTTAAAATAAAGCTCCTCGTATCGAAATAATCATTGTGCTGACTTATGTTTAATCAGTAGGTGATCACGGCGTTCGACATCGTTCGAATAATGAATTATAAGATGCCAACCAGACCAACGACGCAATGCAGAAACAAGGAAACGGGTACGAACTTGCATTACATTATGGCGATCGAGTTAATTAAGCAACTTTCAACTTCTAAACAACGATTACAATCTCTAGCCTTTAATTACCAATTTAAAACTTTCAACTTCCAATTCAGCGCTTTCTGTTTAACAAGTTGAAATCAAAAATTATACCAACTTTTCTACCAATATCGGTATCTAGTTTTTTTTTTAAAGCAATTACTAGTACTTTTCGTTAGTTCCCTCGGACGTGGAAAGAGATCTGAAATTAATGACTTCTATCCTGGGAATAGAACATTACACTTTAATCATGCTAGGAGCGATCACGGTAAGCAACTCGAGCGAAGTTTCTTTCTAAATTTAACGTTTTCGAATGATATCTTTCTAGGAATATCCGATGTTGCACACACCCTGGCTATTAATGCAGCTGTGCGTCATTATCGTAGAAGTGATTGTATTCTGCGTGAGGATGTTTCTGGACGGGCTTCACATGAAACGCGACGAAATATTGCTTTCTGTTCTGACCGTGCATAACTGGCTTCAAGTGTTCTGTTTGTTTCACAGACAGGCGCGGCAATCTCGTTGAAAATACATTTTTCAAACGTACATGCAATTCTGTCGTTAAATGTATCGTGAAGTATATTGTATATTGATATAATAAAAGAAACGTACATCGCGTCGTGCGCTTGAAATTGCCGATTGTACGTTAACTATTGTTCTTTTGTTGCTTCTTACGACTCGCGATTTACAAAGAACGTGGACAGAATAACCAAAAAAAAAAAAGCTCTATCATGAACGGATGAATACTAAAAGTAAGCAACGATGGTGTTTAAATTAAAGAATAATTTCAGTCGTTCTTGTGCAAAAAACCAGAAGGAAACTGAGAGAGAGGCGCGTAAACCTTTCCTCAAGGTATAAACGGATCGTCCGAATTTTTATAAACAAATATCGTATTTTCGAAAAATGTTAACTGTATTAATGTTGTCGTAGACAGAAGCTCTATACGTAGCGTTAATGTGTTTCGCAACACACTGTTTGAGTTCAATTACTTTTGAAGCTGGAAATCGTGCTCCCCACGCGAACACAGTGACCAAATCGGCAGCCTTTAACGCTCTTTTCCGGCGAAGTTTTAGTAATCACACTTAAATAATAAATATATTGCATTAATATAACTACAGAAAATTCTGAATAAACAAGTATGTTATTTACAGATCTGAAGATTGTAATACCCGTGACGAATGTAATCACAGGACTAATAACCACGATAATGATGATTGTGGGTGATAAGCATGGCATTCCTTATCTTTATTTGCCGTGGTTGGTGAATACCATGAAAGGAATAGCTCTCTGCGAAGGACCAGCGCTTTTAAACTTGGCCAAATTACTTCTACCTAACATTTCGTTTCCCGCAGGAACTTTCATACTTACAACTTTCCTTCTATATGGTAAAAACATGACGTTTAAATTAACCTGTTGAATGCTGAACAAATTTTTAAATCGTGAACATTTAAAAATTAAGGAAAAATCATCATTTAACTTCTGTTATTCGTATTCTAATTATGTTTGTTTCTTGAACGACCATAGAAGTTTATAGAGCAGAATATTTCCGTTTTAGTGGAAGAATTATGCATTTGGAACAACGCTTTCGCGAATTTTCAACGATGCTGGAAGGATTACCATTACCGAAAGCAATGCATCGCGACGAAAATGAAAAAGAAATTGCTCGCAACGCGCAAAAAAAAGGTACTTTGCCAAGGCGATGCGGAAGATAAATTAAATGTTACCGTAGAAAAGTTAAAAGCTCAACAGAGACCCGACGAGTTTCGCGGCAAATCTAATAGCCAAATCTCCACGGATTCCGGTGTGAAACCTATTAAAAGTATCCTTGAAGATAACAGTAATTTTTATAAAACACAATTATGGGATGTCTCTGGATAAATAGCAACAGTTGCTAAAATTTATCATATTTTTTAAACGCTTAAAAGCAACATTTGTGTAGCATTATATACTGATATTTATTTTCCATTTCATTTGTTGCACTCCTAGCTTTTATATTGGCAACATATTTTTCTACTTTAATATATGTATATTGAAATACTTTTATTTTGAATATGAATTTTGTGCAGCTATTTTCTATCAAGTATTCTCCACAAATTGAATATGTACATATATTTTGTTGAAATAACAATTGAAAATTTCATTGGAAGTTGCAAAAGAATTATTTCAGGAGTTCGATATATCGAATCAACTTTTTACTGCGAGTACGCATTTTGAATCTAATAGAGACAAAGATAATAATACACAAAAAAAACAATCGTGTTACTGATTATACGCACTATTTTCTATAATGCAACTAATGTACATATGTGGCTTAAAAGTTAATCGAATCGAAATGGTTAGATTTATAAAATGAACGCGTCCCGCCTTGCAGCGAGAAATGGCGGTAAAACGAGTGCGCATGCGCGCCAGATGTTTCGTTCACATCGATGCTCACCGCTTCGCTGTGCTCTTGTGTGCTTGACGCTCGCACAAGTTACACGCGTGCCGGTAATAAACCGTTGTTTGGCATAACGGTCGTTTCTGTTCGATCTTCCTTGGTCCTTTGTACATAAACTGAATCGTAACTATTGAAGCAAAGGTTGTGATACACGAAATTTTAGGCATAACTCTCGAAAGGAATAGTGAAAGTGTATCTATTACTAAGAAAGCGTCAAACCTCGAGTTATTCGAACGCAATAAAGGTACGTACGTTTCGTTCACATTCCACGTGCATTATTATTCTCCGCGATCTTGTCGTTGTATAGTCGTTGAATGTGCCCTTTGGAATAAAGATGTCAAGAAACGAGACGTTTCGCAAGTCGCGAAATAAGGTTGCTCTTGTTCGAACGGTTTTAACAGGTAATATCGTTCGTAACACGGTTTATTTTTGTACGTACATTCTCGAGTTCCAATGAATTCACGCGTCTACTACCTTTGTTGTTTACCACCACAAAAAATATAATCTGTTGAATCCGTGAACAGACGTGACCTGTTAATCGTGCGTGTGTGAAGATGTGTTGTGAACACGGTGTATAGCACGTCCCGCGTTACATATACTCTAACGACCGATCACGTGCCCCGTATTTAGGTATTCATATCGCACAAGATGTTGTTGTGTGCGTGTTTGCCCATCGAGATCCATATTTTTGCAAAGTTTGTTGCGAAACATAACCTTTTAATGATAGATAATTACCATTACCAACTACAATTTTAAACGTATTACCTTATAACCAACAGAAGTGAAAGTATCCATTGTTCCTTAATAAAATATTTATTTGTGTTATTGTACGTAGGGAAAGTTGAAAGTCAGGGATATTTCTATTATTTATACGTAGCTCTTCTTTTTATTGCATTTATGATACATTAATTTCGATATAACAAATAACAAGGGTCAGGTAAAAAATATGACAAGAAAATATTATCAGAAAAATGCATTTCGTTTAAATAAACATTCGGAGAAAAGTTTTGCAAGCATATTTATAATTTCTTTTCTTTAATCAACAAAACTTAGTCTCCGAATATGATAGATACTCTTTTTCGATGCATCTATGTTTTCCTTAAATATTAATGGACGAATCACAATTCACAATCCTTTGTATATGATACATTTTTATAGGCATAAGTCCTTCTTTTCGCTGTAACAAGTCGTAGCAAAAGCTATATTCTTCTTGCGGACACGCATATCGTTGCTTACATTGGCTCGAACAAGTTTACTGCTATATTATGCATATTACAAACATGCTTATTTCTCTAATTATAAGGCGATCGAATTATACTAAAGGCATCTATATTATATTCTGCTCTGTATTTACATTATCAAGCAAAATCTTAACAAATATCTCTTTAGCTTCTACGATACGTAAGAATACTTCAAATCCAACTTGACAAAATCTTACGTAAACTTATAAAAACAGATGGTCTTACGAGATTGTTAAAAATATATCTAAATATACAGACTAGAACAAGTAAGTTTTGTTAATTTTGCATTATTCGACTAACTCTGATGCAAATCAAAACTCAGACAAATGCGTATATTGTTCTGCACTGTTCTAGATATCGTAATATGCTTCTTCGGTCAAAAGTAAAAAGCTTACCTCTCTTCTAAATGATATTTCGTATTCATGCATCTGTAAATATTTTACTTTCATCGTAAAGATCCATATGAAGAGAAGGTCATCGGGTTGTGCAAAGATTCAGGTACAACAGAAGCATATGAAAACTTGTAGAAAATGTACAAAACTTGAAAATATGAGAAACTTGAAAGTAAAAAATTGAATCCATAGAGGTTTTGTATGGCTTACGAATAAAACCGTCGTACGATCCTTCTTCGCATATGGCTCTTTACTCGATCGTTTATGTTTTCTTTGTCAGAGACTAGAAATTACATGGTAAATTGTATAAAACGTTGCGTTTAGAACAATGGACAAAAATTGTACTCCTTGCCGTACCTTATACGAATTCGCGATTGTTTCGATAAGGTTGACAAATAGTATGCAACGTACGTTACCTGCTGGAAAATGCAAAAACAGTGCCTTCAAGGTGGTCGTTTTAAATTGTCATTTCATTCGCGGGGAAAAATACCCTCAAATAATTTGTCTCAATGTCGAACCCTGTGCCAAAATTACATACGTTGCTCGAGCATCGATGTTCCTAAATCTCTTTTAAGTTTTTAAGATATGATTTATCCGTTTCATTAATCGGTACGATTTAACTTTCTTGCTTTCCTTAAGTTAGTTCGCCTTAAATTTAGAACAAAGAGAAACATCGCGTTAGAAACATTTTCTTTCTCTCCGTTAAAGCACCCGGAAAGGGCCGTCGACATCAAAACGCTCTATCATAACTTTTGTAAACGACCTTAGACCTCGAAGGCCTCCCACTGCTACGCTATCATAGCGGCGATGGGACTGAAGCGCATTATTTTGCTGAGCAAAATCCACGCCACCGAGGCGAGGGCGCAAAGCGTGACGCCACCCCATCCGAAGTCCATACTCCAGGAGCTGTTGAATCGTCTAGCCTTCAGGATGCTACGTGGTGCCGGTCCACCAATCACACCATCCTCAGGGCCGTCCAGTATTCGCGCTCCGCGATCCTGGGCCCTCTTGAAATGAATTATCGTCAGAGTGAACAACGCGAACGTGGCTGCAACCAATTAATCCGTGTTAGAAACGTCCTTCAAATTATTTAATGTTTTTAAAAAAATACTTTGATTATTTCTATCTGAAAGTCTCTTATCGACCGTAAGAAATGTTTGTCTTTGAAACCACGAGTGCGCGGAATGTTGACTCTGATGGAACAGAAAAGCTCCGTTTATGCGCGGGAAATTATTCAAATCGCATCAAACTCATTTCAATACAACTTTGAACTTTAAATTACAATTGAATGCGGTGTTCGATTAAGTAATGCAACTCGTTTGTTTTGTTTTGTGGTTGACTTTACGAGCGATTAGAAATCTTCGCGGTTACCAAGTTTGTCTAAAATTGTAGATTTCTTAAATAATGATCAACGTCGACAAACTTACCCGCCAAAAGGTACATCACACCGGTAACGAGAACCGCCGATATTTGATGCCTGCACAATCCAAAAAATCCAATCAAAACGGCGGTGCTCAGAATAATCAAGCAAACTAGAGAACAGGATATACTCAAATTCTGCATCCCTGAAAAGAAAAAGGAACAGTCCTCGTTCAAGTAGCTTTTCGTATAGTTTGCGAGGTTCTTGACAAACTTCTTCGTAATGTCAGGACATTCCAAACCAAAAACTTTATGTATGCCATAAATTAATTTTGTTCGTAAGGATTCTCTTCGACTGCTTAAAGCTCTGGACACTTCGTACCACCTAACGGGCAAAGTAAACCCATCTACGCGCCACAGTTCAAACTTTGTTTCAGGCAGGGATTCGAAACGAAATGGAAAATAATTTTATCGTATTAAGCAAGTTCGTTTTGAAATTTATACAGAAAGTTCAAATTCTTCTGATATAATTCAAGTTTTACACCGTTTGCTAATGCTGAAAATAACGTTTTTAATTACAGTTTTAATGTAATTGCTCGCGACATACATTACGGTTTTTGATCTAGAACAAGTATTTCGAGGTTTTACTTTTAATTTGATTTTTATTACCGTTACAATATTTCACGCAAACGGAACGCATTGAATGGCGGGAATCGAAATACGAGAAAAAGGACGTAGGTTGTACTCACGATTTTGCCAGGCGGCGCGTATCTCCTCATGTGCTTCGTCGGGCGTCAAGTAGTTAATGCACCTCCCTTGCGGAAAACCTACCTGACCCAGTAGTCGTATTTCTTCCTCTAAAACGTGAGAAAAACGAAATCAGAGCAAGTAATACAAATTTTCAATCGTTTATTTTTCTCCGTCATTTTGTTACTTTTAAACAGTCTCCGCGAGCGTGTTTTCAGTGACCTCGTAGCGTCGCTATTAATTTTAAGTTCAGTTTCTATAATTAAATTTATCAAAAATACTTGTTAGTTTAATTGCGACCTTTGAGACGAATTTATGTCAATCTATTTCTTTGGAGCATGACTAATCGCTATGAAAAGTTTTATACAGTATTGTTTGCGACATTAAATTAATTTCGAACCGTTAAGATTATATTTAGTTTACAGAAATTACGTATGATTAATTGATTTTTTTTTTTAAATTAACCGGTTGAGTGCGGCGAAGCGCTATTGCGCTTCTCTTGTCCTGCGCATAATAACTGCGCATTGTATTCCGCACTTTTAACATACACAGGGTGTTCTGCCACTCCTGGGAAAAATTTTAATGAGGGATTCTAGAGGCTAAAATAAGACGAAAATCAAGAATACGAATTTGTTGATGGAGGCTTTGTTAAAAAGTTATTAACATTTAAAGTTCCGCCCTTACTGAATTTTTTTCTCGAAAATGCGCAGGAATTCGGGGGTATGTCTATTCACTCAAAATAATTGTAATTGACCCCCGCAACCAAAAATAATTTTTCCAGAACGATTTGAAATTTTTTTTTTCCGTCGAAAAATTTCACACCTTCTCGAATTTTTTTTTAGAAAGTGGGTAAGAATTCCGGGGTATGTGTAATGACCAAAAATGATTGTAATTGACCCCCGGAACCGAAAATAATTTTTCCAGAACGATTTGAAATTTTTTAATTTAATTGTTAATAACTTTTTAACGAAGCCTTCAACAACGAATTGATATTCTTGATTTTCGTCTTATTTTGGCCTCTACAATCTCCCATTAAAATTTTCCCCAAGGGTGACCGTACACCCTGTATGCAAGAAAATTCTTCAGCACTCAAACGTGTTAAATAACGTATACGCAGAAAGTACAGCTTCCAAGCAGATGTTTTGGTTGACCTTAATTTAACGATGATCGTTTGCAGGTAGCTTTTACGTATGACCGATTAACTCGCTACTTCTGATGAGTAGTCAGATTTACTTGGGCCACGAACGCGGAATAGTTCGAGCGTGAGATTCGATATCAGATTCCGAATACTATCGGCTCGCTGAAGAGGATGAACTTGAACATGGATTTCCGTGAAATGTCAGGAAGAGTAATAGGAACCGTCAAGGCCGCGGAAACTTAGGAAATTGAGTAATAATAAATTTCGAGGCAGAAATAGATCGGACTCAAGTTCACTGGGTCTAGGTTACTCTCCTCGAAACTTGCACGCTCGTTAGAAAATTGAATAGCTTCGATGCTCATCCGTAATAATTAATACACGAGTGCGCGGTTGTTTTGCAGTGTCGTCGAAAGGACATTTTTCGAGAGGAAACGTACGCGGAGTTTTCATATACAATATTACGATAGATACTTTTTTTAATTTTAAGAACTCGTAAAGGGAGTTTAAAATTTTATTAACTTTATAAAATGTTAATTTTCTTTAACATAGAAATATCTGTGACTAAAGATGACTATAGTTTTGTCAGTTTTGTGTTGCGTTTGGGGGGCAGCAGATCGCGTCGCTAGTCGCAAAATTTCGAGATTTATGCGTTTAGGCTTATTAGCGGATTTTCGTTGGAAGGTCGAGCAATTCCCGAGGCGTGTACGTAGTATGTTTTAGACAGCGTTCCGTGCTTGGCGTGACCAGGAACCATCAAACGAAGTTCCCCCTAAAAAAAATATACGGATTGTTCAAACGCACACGTGACTCTAATTATTCAAACGTTTTCGAAGGTCGGAACTGTCTCGCGAAAACGAGTCGCCATATTGGTCGACGCGATGAGCTTTTCTTCGCGGTTGCAAAGCTCGAACGAAAGAGATTTAAGGTCTCCAGTCTCGAGACATTTTAATAAATCCGTCGAAAGGAAGTTAAATGAGAACGCGGAAGATTGAAATAGTAGTTGAGGTTCTCGTTTCTCCCAGAGCTCTCGATGAAGCGAGAAAATTGAACAATCGGAATGCACAATCAAACCGTGATTGCACGCCTACGCGTACAAAGATGCGGATTTCCAGGAACAGCGAGACTCTTCGAGGAAAAAATCAAACTTTCTGTGCTCTTTTTTTCTTTCATTTAGACCGCATGAAATATACATTGGAAACTCAATGCCAGTAGTATTATACCGTTGTGTATTTGTGTTTTTTTTATCTTACGCTCTCCGTGTTTTCCCAGGATTGGCCTTTTCCGAGACCAAATGGCTTTGGTCGTTCTCGTTAGGAATAATATCACGTTTGTTCGTTGGTGGGGCGAGCGTGCATTTTTTTTTCTCAATATGTTCGAGATTACACTCGTCATGTTTCGCAAAATCGAAGTAAATAAGGATATATCGTGAGCGAGAAACGTCACAGCTAGAGTACTTACGTCCTATGTCCTCACGTTTAAAAATAACACACGATCGTTCTCGTCCTGACATTTTAACGTAATAAAACAAACACGCGGTCCCGATTAAAGGCCTTTATACATTTACCAGTCGCGAGGCATACGTGTTTATTCCGTTTGTTGAACGCAATTAGAATGGTCGCGGTGCTAAAAAATTGTACAAAGTAACGTGTACTCGTATTTTCACAAATTGTAACATAATTTACGCGAATACGCCTCGTATCACAAACTGAAAAGGGACGTGTCGAAAGCAATTTTAATGTGTGAGACCAGTGCTGGCGTATATTGAAAATAATCCTTGCGTTAAGTTTTAAGAAAAGACAATTTAAACATCTGTAAAGTACACAAAAATAGTTTGGTAAACTTTAAAACGATATAACTCTTGAGCTATTAGGCTTATAAGTACCTTCGTAATTTTTTTCAATTGTCATTCTTAAAATTGCTTTTGATTAAACGATCACACTAACGACAAAATAGAACGTAGTTACGTACATAAAATTCTACAAACAAATCCGACTCGTTAGTCTCGATCACTATAGAGAAAAATACCGCGTCTAATTAAAAGAAAAAACATGGCTGCCATCGTACCAGTATTCCAGAATATTTGGATGAAAATATGTATCCCCTAGAGTAAACATTTTTCGGTACAATTTGTAAGAAAAAAAAACATATAATTCCATTTTTTAAAGGAAACAAATTTTATGTAGAAAAATAACTGAATAACGAGCGCTTCGAGACCATTCATGTTTTAATACCACTGTTAATTAACGTCTAGCCTTGACACTTTTACGCGTTTTGCTGTCAGCCGTATTATTTGTTGCACATATCGGTTTTGGTTACGCGGAAATTATGAATTGGTGGTACGATCGAATCAAAGGATCAAACCGCGAGAATTTTTGGCACGAAATTTCGTCGAAGGAACATGCAAGATGTTCACGGTCACGGCATACCTGGACAGACAGTACAATGTTTCAGATCCTAATCGACTGGTCGATAGCTTGGTCAGAGTCAAGGTAGTATCCACATATAGAATGCATTCATACAACATCGCGCCGTTCTAGATACACCGGTCTGATTATGTGGAAATGGTGTGCACACGTGTCATTGGAAGCTCGCACGATGCTAGCAGGGACTTGTACCCAAATGGAAAATACTATATTTACATATACTCGGCGGCAGTTTATCCGGTTTACAGGTTTCGCTATAATTTTCAAGACGAACTTTCTATAAGAACCACTACCATCTTGGACGATACCAAAGAAATGCAAAAAAACAACTAAAGAATAACAGAAAATAGAAAATCAATGTATAGAATTAAAAAAAAAAGTTTAACTCACGTTTGACTATTATCAAATAATGATTCAGCCGTATCAACGATGACGGATTCGAGAGTTAATACTTTGGTAAACTTGTGAATCAACTATGTTGTAATCGATGTATTATACAGATTATGAGAAATGTGTGGTATGTGTAAGTGATGGACGACGTGGTTCCTGATTGGTGTTTACAAAGATGTGATCGCTATAACAGTGAAAGTCGAGAGAGAGAATTTGTTATTAATATCGTTTCACATTTTCAGCACTCGGGAAACGATAGTTTTTATTGCCCCCTGAGAGCCGGAAGTTCCGTTCGCCGAAAAGGCGTCGATGATCGAACGGGATCAAAGTTTGAAATAACAGTAAAGCTGCTTCGGAATCTCGCATTTTATGCGCGGCGTTTGCGCGAAGGAAAATGATAGAAGAGTTGGAACGTTACACGGATCGTTTACAACGGCCACTTACCTGTAAGCGAGACGCACATGATCCAAATACCGCCATACATTGGCACGAGAAAGGTCGGTCGCCTGCCAGAATGATGATTTCTATGGCCAGATGCGGATCCAAGCATCGCCACCTGCCCGTCCAAGTACCACGTGAGAGTAACGTTCGCGTGGGTCAAAATCTCCTTATCCCAGCCCACTTCCTCCCAATGGTCCGACATTATTGCACCGCACAACAATCCAGTCGCTGGAACAGAGAAAACGAGGATTCATCGTAGCTAGCTGCCGCCATTACGTTTTCTTTATATCGCTGTTCGACACTCTTGTCTACTTTGTGGCAAAGTGTCCTTGTTATTCCGGATCTCTGTGAGATGGTGATCGACCCCCACGGCGATATACATGACAATGGAAGCAGCGTCGGCTAAAGTTACGTAATCGTCGAGTGTTGTTTCGAAATTGTAGAGCTTCGCGCGAGAGGATCTTCGTGGAGGAAAGAACTGCAGGAACGTTATTCAAGAATTCCTGCTCTCTCGAGATGTTCGTCGTCAAATCTGCGATGAAAGTTCGGTGTTTCAATGTTTACGAAGCACTTGGATCGCGTGGACCGTGTGGATCTAGAAATATCCAGGAGAATGGGGAAAGAAGAATCACCTAATAAGGAAACTCTGAGAGAAGTAATAACCCCTCGGTTCCACGATGCAATTTTAATCTCACACGACAGGATATGGCTTTCTATTTTTACTTATTTTTAGAGAATTTATGTTGTAGAAGAAGCAACATTGCTGGAACGAGGCGCAGAGTATGTGGACGACTCGGAGAACGCTTGAAAAAATACAATTTTAAAGCTATTGAAAAAAAGCTTAGAGTTTCCTGAAGAAATTGTTACAGACACGGTAAAGACTTTAACCATGTTCTCTTCTAGAATCACTATCAAACTCCTGATCTTTGAAAACTTATATAGGCATTTTTATATCAGCAAAATTGAACGATGTGCATAGTCTGTAAACACATATCGTAAAAACTCTAAAAACTGAAGGTTCGTGGACGAAATAAGTTAGGAAAAATCTTGACAACTATACGAGATTGAAAACCTTAACGCTAATAGTGCTAAAAAATGATTCAGAAGAAACTCTCGGTTAACGATGCAGTTGTTCTTTTTGCCGTGTCATGGTAATTGCATTGTGCAAGAAATCTGGTAACAAGAGCACTCGAGTATAATAGAGCATAGGAGTGCTTCTTTCGAGCGATCGTGTCACCCAGTGAAAAAGTAAACGATGCAACGAGTTCAACCGGTGGTTGCTGACCGTGCTGTTAGAAGTTTCGAGTTGCTAAAGAAAAGACTGCAAGAAGCGTAGTAACAACAACATTGAAGAGGCTCGATCGAAACGTGGACAACGACCGAGAATGAGATTCGGAGGAATGATGCTTTATATAATCTTATCAGTCGTTGGGAAGAAAAAAGCAATCGTTTGCCAGATAAACGTTGCAAAGGAATATGAAAAATCGGTGCGAGATCGTGGTTGTTTATCTAAATGGTTCGCTCGTTTGAACGAAGGCTGGAGAGATACAAGACCACGAGGATAGATTTTATCTGCATACATTGTTGACGCGATGGGACGGAAAATGTATACGTTTCAACGACGTTCCAAAGGACTGCGATTCGTTTTAAACGTGCAATGGGAGCAGCGTTGTCCACGTGCTCTCCGGGACATCGATTCCGTCCTCCTCGGTTGTCATCCGCTTTGCGGAAGCTTCCAATACAACAATTAATTGGTGGACCGATAGGAATGGGCATCGATTGTCTATTAACACGACGAAACCAAGCACCACACACTCGTCCAACATCTATCGACAAAGTTCCTTCCGAACGACTGATCGTTAACGGTACATTAATCAAATACAAAGTCGAAACATTCGTCGCTGCTTTTGTTTCGTTCTCCAAAATAAAGTCGAAAGGCACGATCTCTTCGAACACTGTGCGACCGTTCGAATCAGCTGATCGCCTAGCAAAGAGTCCTCCCCATACATAAACAAATTAAAATACAACGAGGGGTAGAAAATTCTTTTCCGGAACAGACCACCTCTCCTTTTTGTTCCGCGCGAACGAACGCGACATCCGATCGGAGCGATCGTTTATTACGTAACGTTGTCCGTAAATCGCGTGCCGGTCGAAACAACGACACGGGAAACAATAACACCACCGAGGATGGAAAGAAAAAAAAATGAAAGTTCGTCGGAAGTTTTGCGTCGAGGATGACGATTACCTGCGAAAGTGAGGGCAAGCGTGGCAACGAGGAAAATGAGACGCGGACCAGGGGCCCTGGGTACACGGGTAGGCTCCATCCATGCAGGTGGTGCCCAGGGCGACCGCTGGCAGCCCACTGAATCCCGCACACCGCACCGACAGTCGCCAGTTACGCACTGACCAATCGACACCCCCGAAGACCGTCTGTTTTCGGCGAGTCTCCGCCACGGCGAGGGGGCAAACGACCAGGACGCCCTCTCCGTTCTGCGTCGAAGCGCACGAAAATCGACCGACGTACCACCCACCCAACCGACCACCCCACCCGGATGCTGCGGACAACCCGCCTCTGCTTCTCTCCAACCCTTTATACGTCTTTCGTTTCTTTTTCCTTCTTTCGTTTCTGCGTTCCTCGGTACCCGCTACCTTCGTCAAATTGCTCTTTATGGCCCTCGAGGATGATTAGACGCGCCTAACGGTCCTTAATTCCTTCTTCTCGCAGACTATACCGCGATCGAGTCTGATTCTCGCGTACATCCGATGCAAACGATCTAGTTTCCCAGCACTCGGTTACGAGTCTCTGATATTTCGAGTAGGTAGGTTCTCCGCTTTCCAAAGCAACTTCCTTGCGTATGCTATCCGATCGAATGGCTAAGATTCTTTGATCGAATAGCTGGATCAAGTTTCATATATCTATCGACGATCTTCTTGCATCCCATTGTCCTCCAACGAATCATTTGCAATTGTTTGCATCGAAATGCCTCGTTATTTGAAGTGTATTGCTCGGAATACTCGTTCGGTTAACAGTCGTTAACACCTTATCTGCGGATGACGCCATCTGCCGATACATTGGTTACTGTTTTTTTTTTTGTTACGAGCGACGCTATCTGGCGTCAAATTGAATACCGTTTTTAATTATAGTAGTGTTACATACTCGAGGTTGCAGTTGATACTTTAGTGCGTTGAAAAGTGATAAAATAAACCTGATATTTATTATTAAACATGGCTATCAAAAAGTGTGATGGAAACTCGGGGAAAATATTTAGCGTAGACGTAGAGATTGATAGTGATATGGACACTGATAACGACGCTGTCGACGAAGACAAATGTTTTAGGAGATTTAGAAGAACTGTGCGCAGTAAGTCGTGGATTATTTTTAACAGCTCTGAAGAAGAAAACAACTAGTTGATAAAACAGAAAATAAAACAGTTTGGGGGATAATTGGTCCACATCAATATTAGTAATTTTATGTGAACTAAACAAAGCTTAAATTATAGAATTTATACAAAATTAATATATATTTTTGTTCCGGTCTTAGCAATAAGAAATGAAGATTGTAATTCCGTCGATGGGGTGTTAAGTTTACACGACGCGCGGAGTACTCTGTATTTTATTCTCGATCGACGTTGACGCGAGCGTATAGCGTGCAGGAGGAACGCTCTGCTGCGTTAAATGTGACTCGCGTGGAAGACGCAACACATATCATGCGTGGGTGGAATATTCTGTACACATAATTGCATCGTGACGTTGAAGCATCAGGCTTCACCGTAGGTGGATGATCAAAGAGTGTGTGTATTTGTATCTATGAACTTACACCAAAAATAATCCATAGTAATTTGTTATAACTATTCGCAAACATCAAAGTAAACAGAAACTAACGACTTTCTGTGATACAAATTCGAATAAGCGCGAAACTATGAGTACCGAAATAATAAATCTTGTGGAAAGCATTGGTGGCTAATGGCGAAGAGGCGAACTAGCTTTACGGTTGTCGGGTTAAAGAACGACAAAGCGGAACTGCATAACAAAAACAGTGTTTCCCGTTGCAGATGGCTGACGTTGCAGAGAGTGCAGCATTCACCGACCCAGCGACCGCGATATCCCACGGGAAACGGCATCTGTTAGTGCGTGATTACACCATGGCGGTGACAGCGTTAGCGCAAGCCTGCCAGCTACTCGCTGAAAAACACGGGGACACCGCGGACGAACTCGGTGAACCCTATCTGCTCTACGGTCGTGCTCTCCTCGGTTTGGCGAGAGAGGAGGCGGGGGTGTTGGGCGGTGGAGTGCCGGGCACAGAGGACGCGGATGAAGACGACGAGGAGGACGAGGAGGAAGCGGAAGACGAGAAACTCAGCAACGTAGACGAGAAGGAAGACGAAGAGAACGAGGAGCCAGCGAGCAAAACAACGGCCGACGAGGCGAAAAAAGAGGAAGGTAGCTCCGAGAGCAAAACCGACAAATCGAAAGCTACCTCGGAGTCCGGGAAGACGGAACCGGAGAAGAAGGAGGAGAAGGATGAGAAAAGTGAGAAGAAAGCGACAGAGTCCGGTACCAACGAGAAGGAGGTGACGGAAAAATCGGACTCTAACAAAACCGACGATAGCAAAATAGCGGAACAGAAACAGAAGGAGGAAGAGAAAGCAGCGGCTGGCTCCAGCAAGGAAACGAATCACGCTAACGGGCCGTCCTGCTCGAGCGAACAGAATGGCGAGCTGAAGGAAAACGGGGAAAACGATTCCGAGGACATTGGAAAGGAGGACGACGAGGACGAAGTTAATAATTTACAGGTATACAAGTACACGTTGCAAACGAGAAATTTGATTAATATCTGCTTGTAACTTCTCTTATTTTATTTTTACTGTAATCTTAAATTAATCTTTCCCTGACAAACGTGGCGTCAATTTCATCTAACGTAAAAGACTCGTAAAAGTTTCATCGCTCAGGGACGTCTTCTGTATAACGAACAACTGACATTCGGAGTTAAGAGTTGAACTGAGACTAAAGTGTTTGTTCTGAAATTAAAGGTGGCCTGGGAAGTCCTGGAATTAGCGAAGCTGGTACTTTTAAAACGTGGACAGCCCGGTTGGAAATTACTGGCCGACGCTTATCGACTCCTGGGCGAGGTGGCCATGGAGGGTGGAAACTTTCAGGGCGCTCTGAACGATCTGCATCGATGTTTGGAGCTGTTGCAGCAAATCGAGCCCCGCGAGCCGAGGGCGATAGCAGAGATTCATTATCAGCTCGCGTTGGCTCATTCTTTGGGTAATGAGTTCGACGCCAGCATCGAGGAGTTCAACAAGGCCACCGAGCTGCTGGAGACGCGCATCAAAGAGCTGGAGGAGCTGAAAGAGCCGCCCAAGACCGAGGATTCCTTTTACACGGTCGAGGGCGAGATACAGGAGCTGAAGGAACTACTACCAGAGATCCGAGAAAAGATCTCAGACATGAAGGATTTCAAACAAGAGGCTTGCAAGCTGGTCATAGAGGGTATTAAAAGCAAAGTGGCTGGTGGCTGTTCGAACGGTGCCGGTCCAAGCGGTAGCAGCGATTCCCCGTCCACGCCGAAAGTTCAAAAGCCAGCTAGCAACATATCCCATCTGGTGCGTAAAAAGAGAAAAGCCGAGGAGCCAGACGTAGATGTTGCCGCGCCCAGCAAAAAGCCGACGCCAGAGAAGGCTGTTTGAATATTCCACTTGGTTCGGTGCGTTTGGGACACTTAATCGTTGCTTTGATTCGCGCGGTGAAAATTAAAACTGTACCACAGATGGAATTTTTTTAGAGTTGGACCAAGGTAAGATAACAATATTCAATCTAACGAGAACGATTCGACTCGAATACCGTCAAAGATACCATTGATTATGATTCACATATGTGTTGTATTTCATTATTTTCGTTGTTTTTACGATATTACATTTTATGACATTTATTTATTGTACCTTCCGAGGTCTTGATAGCGAACGAGATGTGCTAATTACCGTCTACACTGCGATTGTTTTTAAAACACTTATTCTCTAGAATACGATAAAATATTAAGGAATAAGGTTGTTCTTGTACAAGTCTGATTAATAAACGTTAAATGATGGTTTTTTTCTAACTGTTCAAAATGGATACAGTTCGGACCCCCAATAAATTCAATACTGACGTATCAAATCGCAACACATTATCCATATATTTTCCAAATTACAATATTCTACAAATATTTTTTATTCAATTTTTAACGTTTACGATCACATTTCTGGACGGATTGTTAATTCAAGTTTAAAAAAAGACGTGTGCATAAGAGGACAGAGCATTCAGCTGAAAATCAAGTACATAAAAAAAACAATTTTAATGGGAGATTCTAGAGGCCAAAGTAAGACGAAAATCAAGAATATCAATTTCTTGATTGAGGCTTCGTTAAGAAGTTATTAATATTTAAAGTTCCGCCGGTACTGAATTTTTTTCTCGAAAATGGTTATGATTTCGGGGGTATGTCTATTCACCAAAAATGCTTATAATTAACCCCCGGACCTAAAAATAATTTTTTCAGAATGATTAGAAATTTTTTAATTTAACTTTTTAATAACATTTTAACGAAGCCTCAATCAAGAAATTGAGTACATAGAATCTCCCATTAAAATTTTTTCCAGGTGACTGAACACCCTTAAGGACCTCTGAATTATTTGGAAAATTACTAGTATTTGATTTTCAGCTAAATGTCCTCCTTAATATATTTATTCACCCAAAAGTTCTTCGATGTCGTCTTCTTTGTCAGAGCTTTCTTCTCGTTGAATTTTCATTTTGTAACCGAGCGATTCCAACACACTCGCATTGTAATAATAATTTAAATTAATTCCAGGTACCAAACGCTTCAGTTCTTCTATTGCAGCGCGTGCTTTATCATTATCGCCGATGTTGATATAGTACTGCGTTATGGTCGCAAACAGATCGCCACGGCGCACTGACTGTTCCAAATCAGGCCCTTGAGAATCTAGCAACTGACGAACCTGTTGCATCGCTGTTCCCGTTTCGCCTCTATCAAATAATCTGTAACAATATTTTGCAATGTCTCGTTAACAAGGTTATTTTGTAGTTTTCAGCCGCTGCGTGTGATATCGTTACGTACTTCTTGATATCCAGATAGCGCCTAATCGTCGCTATTCTATTGTTTACGAGGTCAACTGCTCTTTTATGAATATCAGGATCCCTCGGAGTGATCACTTTTGAGAGACACCTACTGGCTTGATTCAGAGCATCGAGTGCCTTCTCGTAATTTTGAAATTCGTCTATTTCCACTTGAGCGCAGGCAACATAGAAATTAGCCAACAGATCCATCGCTTTTCCTTTCGAGTAAAAATTGATAATATTTTTCAAGACGTCCGGTTGATTCTGCCAATCCAGCGATTGCAGATAATTCCCAGCCATAATATAAATCTCCCTTTGTCTAGAAACTTGGGCGAAGAAGCAGATCTTTTCCGTATCGCCAGACTTCAGTAACGCTTTCATGGCTCTCAATTTGTTTCCAGCTTGCGTGAACTTCTTCGTCGCCAAGTGATAATTACCTTGCTCGAAAGCAATTTCACCGATTCTCTCCAATATAGAGATACGAATTTTTTCGCGCTCCGCGTCGTTGTCGATCTTTTCCAACGTCATCTTCTCCGCGAGGTCTTCGACCAGCAGAATATTATGCTGTTGCATCAATTCCAGTGCCTCCAAGTATTTCTTTCCCGTGGCGAGTAAATCGACGGCTTTCTCGATCTGATCGTTTTGAACAAAATAGTCGGCGCACTTCTCTATCAAAGCGGGATCAGAATCTGCATTGACATCCATAATGATCAATTGCAGAGCACTGTACTGCTTGGTCTTGAACGCGATATCCAGAGCTTTATGCAACAATCCAGCTTTATGGTACAGTAAAACCGCTTTATCCGGTTGGTCATTTTCTTCGTAGTATTTTGCAACGTCTATTTGCGATTGCCTCGGTGCCAATACAGCCAACGGCCACAATTCTTCGTACATGTCGTGTTCTTTGCATAACCTGATTGCGTTTGTATAAGCTTTAGCAATGGTATAAAAATGAATAGCTTGCGTCACGTTATTTTTTGATTCATAATGTGCAGCCAGATGGTACGCAGAGGCAGCGTGGTTTGTTCGGGACACCAAATCGCTGACTTCGTCCTCCTTGCCAAAATAACAAAGCAATCTTGTCATTGCTAAAGTATTCTTGGCTTGTTCGTACAAACGCAAGGCTCCCTCCATGTCGCCCGTTGATTCTATGTATTGTGCATGCCAATTTTTTATTTCTGGATCCTCAGAATTATTCAGATACGTCAACAATTCTCTGGGTCTCACGAGCAGCATCCTCGGTACCTCGAACCTGTGACAATCCGCTTTAGTGTACATATCGATAGCCTCTGCTATTTTGTCTTCCTGTTCGAGTGTTTTTGCATAATTGTAGTAACTTGTTTTCTCGCAAATTTTATTCTCGTTAGTTGCTAATTCTATGGCTTCCTTAAATTTGTTGCGTGCCTCGAGAAGCTTGCCTAACAGATCCAACCTTTTCGCTTCGCGGAAGAGATGTTCAGCGTCGCTGTACAGACCAAGTTCCACGGCCAATATGCCCACTTTAGCTTCCAGGTTTAAACTGTCATCTTGCATAGCTGCTCTAAGAGCTCTCGCTGCTCTAGCTTGCTTCATGTGGCCTAGACACAAAAGGGCCATGTTCAACTGCTTCGTCTTCACGCACATTCTCGCCAAACTTTTCCAGATGCCTTCGTTTTTAATAGACTTTATCGCTTTGAATGCCTCGTCCATGTTGGCGACGCTGATATGAAAACTAAAGTCCAAAACAGCTTTCTTCGTGACTGGATCGCACACGCCTAATTCCTCGAAGTCCCTCATAAGCAATTTTTGTACTTTGCTATTTCTGTCCGCTACCTTTTCAGAATTCAGAATGATTATGTGCGGTGTCTGCACCCCCAACACTCTACAATTGTCATCCTCGATCGGTTTTATATCCTGCACGACTATTCCATGATCCGACGTAGCAAACATCGATACCAAAACCACAGTGGCGTTCGAAACGCTGTAATCATTATTCTCATCGTTTTGTTTTAAGGAATTCTTGGAATCTCGTGTCTCCAGTCTTTGAGCACGACATACCAGAAGCCTAGGGTCTTCCAAGTCCCAACAGTGAGCAGTGACCAATCTTCCTTTACATTTTGCGGTTAGAGCGGCATCGTCCTCGTCGATGTCGTCGGATATTGCGAAATCGAATTCGAGTATTTGATCGCTTTCTATATCCCAGACATATAGGATTGAACTAGGCATCAAGTTAGTCATAGCGACGGTGATGGACACGCAACGGCAATCCGCGTTACATCTAGCCTCGATAATCTCGGCGAAGTCGCTGATCGCTTCGTAAGTCGCCATTGCTCTTGTGTGCAACTTAGCCTCACGCTTGCTCAGATCCCAAATTTTTAATATACCGTTCAAAGATGCAACTGTTAGATACGGTCCGGTAAGATCCATTGTGATCGGTTCACCTTCTTCCGGCAATGTAGGTAAAATCTGAGTAATTGTGCTCTCTACCGATCGCAGTTGTATGACCACAGGCGTCAAAATGATCAATGTGTGGCCATAAATTAATAGCTTCTCCGTGTCGCAATTGAAACTGCTAATCACAGTAGTGCTTATGGTGGTCTCGTTGTTAATTCTATAAACCGCGATTTGTCTACCCGAGGAAACAACAACGTAGTCTTTGTTAACGGCGACGAGTTGCACTTGTATGTCGGTTTTTAAAATGTAAGTTGACTCTTCGATCTCTAATAAGATTTGAGTAGGGGCGAGTTGACTGGCGCAAATGCCATCATTGTATGCAGCACACATTGGTTGTTGGTGCAACACGAATACATTAGTGACACAGTTAACTGCAAGCAGCGGGTTTCTTAATAAAGCAGCACCCCATGTAAGTTGTTTTACCGTACCGTGAATGCTACAACATTCTGGTACAGCTGGCCAGCCACTCTCGTCGCTGTCTAATTCAACTTTGCGTTTCCATAAATAAATTGTTCCCAAATTTGTTCCAGCAGCCAAAGTGCCTGTGAAACATTAGCAGTGTAATGATATATACGCGTGTACCGTTCCGTGAACGAGATCAAGTATCAACAGTACCATTGTTTTTACAAAAAGATATGCTGGTACAAATTTCCTGCGGCATAGCGATACTTCCGGTCGATGATTCTGGCGGAGACAATACGTAGGTATCGCTAGTGTGAAGATTCCAACAACGAACGCCCAATTCTCCGGTAAGAATTGCCAAAGTATTTCCAACGGTCCAACACAGTGCTGGACTAGCACGTGATATATCGCATCTGCTGCTAAGTCTCACCTAAAAAGGAAACGTTAAGATTGAACAATGCAGAGCTATTGCGTTGGGAATGCATAAACAAAGAATATTATCAAATTACTTTTGTTAATTCTGTGAGTTGTCCGGTAATGGGATCTGCTTGGAAATGCCCTATGTTCAAACCCTCTGTCATAATAATAATAGAATCTCTAGTTTGATGATGCAGTAGAAACTGCAATGCCGTGCCACTCATACTGAGTACCTCCGTACATTGTCCCTGATTATCAACAAAATATATTATGCCGCTGGTAGTTCCGACATAAAAAGCATGATTATCCCTTTGTGTTACGATAGCTGTCGGAGCAGCAGTTCTGGGACGCCAAGAACTAAACATATCTAATGCTCTTTCATCCCCTGAAACCGCGGCTTTCGCTAAACCACTGAAAGCAATTGGTATTATTCAATTACTTTCATCCGATAGAAAGTAAATATGCTTTGTGCATACCTTATATCTATCGTTGATTTTGGCAAAATGGTTTTAAAAATTATTTGCACGAAAGAATCTTTCAATTCGTGATGAAACGTCATTAGCAATTGACCTCTCGAGTCAATTTTCCAACCAATTATTGACCCGGCCGTGTCCGCGGATACCAATCTTCCACCATGCTGGCTCCATTGTAGAATATTAATGGGATCGCGATGTGGAGTAACTACTACGTTGAATTCGTTACTTCCAGTATCGCCTGGCCATACCTTCAGAATCATTCGTATAAGTTTAAATTACTATGCTTTTATGTTAACAAAATTATTATTGTAAACAATTATTGACCCGCAGTTCTCCGCTTTCCCATCCTGCGGCAAGCCAGCGCCTTTCTGGGTGCCATCCGATAGCAGTAACTTGAGCCACAGAATGTCTTGGCGATTCCACATCCTGAATAGGCTCTCCTTGATCATCATAAATTGTCACAAAACCACCCTTATCCTGAGAATACGAGGCGACTGCTAATAACGGATAATTGGTATGCCAAATCACGTGAGTGCTTATCGAAGCTGTTTCTGGATTTTGTACACGTGTGTCAAAATACAGTGACATTCTCTGAATGCTTTGTTCTCACTGCTAACGTTGAAGTTGTCATACAAATAACTTACAATATACCTCCTAAAGAACACTTAAACTTAATAGTTTCATTTAAATCTAATCTAATATCACTGGAGAAAAGACACTAAATGCAAACTCTTGTAATCTCGACTGCAAATTGAAAATAAGTTTTATAGTATTTGTCAGAGTTTTCTAGTTTTAAACGTCATTTAAAAATTCATTATATACATTTATGTATAAATTAGCACCTCGATATCTGTCAAGAATTACTGTTAAATAAGATAAAATATTTGTCAAGCGTTTGACAGTTTTACAATTTGGTTGACATGTCTGTTGCCATAGCAATATGGTACAGTGCAGTATTACTAGGGACGTAATAGATGACGTTGTCGAGCTAGGGAATTATCTTAGCGTGTTGGTATTGGAGAATGAAACTTACTATCTTACACTAGTGTCGTACAGTCGTGTAGGAATAAATAGTATTTCTCGTTGCATAACGCGTTGTTATTCTGAGCCTTACCTCTTGGTATCTCGACAAATTAAAAAAATATTTCTACATTTATAAAGTAAGTTCAGAAATTGGATCAGATTTTAGAACATGGCCGCATTTCAGTGCCCTCTTGTTTTAGACCGCGTAGTCAATCTAATATGATTCTCATTCGAAGACTGTTAACACACACCAATTTTGAAAAGATTTATTTTAAAAATAAATTTACACTGAAGATTGAAAGAAGTACACAGTCTTATTACTCGTGTAGTATTTATTTAATAAAGTGATCATTCATACAATTACAAAAAATTATATTTTACAAACTATAGTTTAGGGTTTGCTATTCTATTAACTCGAGTTAAAACTTCTTCATGTTAAGTACTTGATCCTCCAGTTCAGCTATCTTCTATAGTTAAACAAATAATAATCCATTAATACCGTCACTTTACATTAACTGTTGCGTTATTTTAAAAATAAAATTAACATGACATACTACCCTGAGATACTCGTGGGTCTGAGTCTCTGTTGTTGCTTCTGTTTCTGCCAATAGAGTTCTATATCGCTTTTCTAACACTGCAACAATATTATCCAGTTCGTTTTGTTTTATCGTGTTTAGAGATGTACACAATTCATTTTTTTGCTCTTGAAATTGTAGTTGCAAGGCTTTTATTTCCATATCTTTGTTCTATGAAATAAATACAAAGTAGTATCCTGTATCAATAACAATTTTAATACGATTACCTTAATTACATGCGTTATTCTTTTCTCGTAATTATTTTCAAGCTTTTCTTTCGACTTTCCAAGCTTTACAACAGCTTTCTTTAGCACAGAGACCTTGGATATGAGATTTTGAGTTTGTTTCTGTGTCTCGTAATCTATTTCATTTCTTAATTTATTAAATTCTTCTTTCATCATTGTGTATTGCTCGACTAATGTTGTTTGTAATGTTTCTTCCTAAGAAAAATTATATTCAATAATATATTTAGTTCGAAAATATGTATACGCAATCGTACATCTCTAATCTTCCTTTCTAGTTTGATTTCTAAATCATGAATCTTATTGGTCAGTAATACAATTTCTTCTTTTCTTCCTATATCTTTTTGCGACAATTCCAAATCAGTCTTCTCAAGGAGTTCTTGTTTCGCGTGCAACTCTTTGCTGTTTTCTCTCGTAAACGTATCGAACTGTTCATATATCACTTCGATCTTATCCATCCATTCTCTTTCCATTTGTTTAATTTGCTCATCCTTCAAAATATTTTTTATATTTCTCATTTTACAAATGAAACTTTTGCTTCTTACCTTACCATGGATGATTTCCTCCAGCTTTTCAGTTATCATAGCTACACTGTTATCTAACGCCTCATTTTTCAATCGAGCCTCTTCTAATTCGCGTTTCAATGCAGTAAACTGTTCCATAACTGTGTAGTGATATTCGTGCACAACTTCTTTATAATTTTCCTCGATAGAATTTTTCATGTTTTGCGTTTCTATCAGCCTTCAACAATTTTTAATCATTTAAACCCTTGTTGCTTCTTTTAAATTATATCTAATGATATACTAACTTAGCTTTTAAAGCAGCGACATCAGAAGTTAATTGATTGATACTTGCACACAAAGGATTATCCATGTTGTTGCTAAAATGCCTCGGGTATTCTAACAATTGATTCTTTAGATATTCATTTTGTATCTGCAGCTCTGCAATAAGAGTACTCAGTGTATCGATACGCTGCTCGTAAATTTTTATCTGACTTTTCTTTATTGCATTCTGATTACGAAAACGAACAGTTGGCGAAACATTAGTAACATCCAAACACTGACTCATATTCGCGATATCCATCATACGATGTTTCATCAATGCTTTGCTCCGTTGATGCTGGATGCACTTTGCACTCGGTTTTAAACAACTATGAAGTGGTCTCACAGCATAGTCTGATAGGTCACTTACGGACGAACTAATACAGACCTATATTACATATTAATTACTTTATTAACGTGACAAAGTTTATAAATCGTAATATAGGTACCATATGATACGACTTAGGCAATGGCATTAGAAGCCCATTGGGTGGAGGTCTGCTAAATATTCCTTTGATACAATTCGACTTCACTTGTCTACATAATTCCAGGAGATATTCATTTCTTAAACGACGCTGCGAGGTTGCAGCGTTTAATTTATCAAGCCAAACCTTACATAACTGAGCACTTTCCGCGGATGTCAACTCTAATACATAAGGTCTGACACGAGCTAGGATCTCCTTAAAACATTCGTCTAATTTCAAAGCCTCTTGTTCATTGTACTCTCTAATTTTTGGCATGATCTTTATTCAACTGACTTTGAGAACGATATTATTCGAAATAAATTTAAAAAAGCCATTTTTTCTGAAATTTTTTCCTCAACAACTACCTTCTTTTGTTTTTCACGGTGTATACGAGATAGCCGTGAATTATAAAAGAAATGGTAAAAAACGAATACAGTCAACCGAGAAAAAGAAAATCATATTGATAGTTATTATTTATTTATTACTACTATTTTCAGCTAAACTTCGCCTACTTCGATCTTCTACTACGTTTAGAGATAGCAATATATTACATCGATAATATGTTTTTAAAAGAAGTATTTAGTTAGTTCGTAAATTTAGTGATAAAAAAGACTGAATGAAATATAATGCGTATCGCGTAAAATCTTCGTACAATGGATCATACTATGCGCACAACAAACGTAGATAGAAGCAAATGTGATATATACAATAGCCAAGAAGTATGGTTATCGAGCTTAATTATGTTACAATCCTTTCATAGCCAGTATCACAGAATAGCTCGCCGAATGACAAAGCTCAGGCGATAAGGACATAGTTACTAGTTCCTTCGCTACCAAGCAAGTATTAAAATAATCGATCTTTCTCTTATAAAATTATATCCCGTGCGTATCATACACTATTACTTCTTAATCTTTTCAATATATCTACTCGTAAGATAAAGTTGTACATAACGCTAATTTTTCTCATACTTTGTTTATCAGCCTATCGTTTCGTATTCATGATTTTTTATCAGAATTGGTCATTGAGATTTAAAGCAGAAAGCCCCGCGAAATACTTTGTCCAAATATTAAACTCGACTGTTCAATTTAATTTGATTTTCTGCAGTTTGTTTCAATTCTACGAGTTTCTCTTTCATGGGTTGGATATTTGTACCTAACCATTCGTCGATTGTTGTTGGAAAGAAAATACTTTCCATTTGGAATCTTAAATATCCTTCTAAGGAAGATAATTCCAACAATAATCTGTAAAAAATATTCTCGATAGTATGTGAGTTTTGTTTGAATCACTCTAGGGATAATTAAACATACTCTGTGAAAGCAGGCACTAAATTCTCTAACTGCATCGGATTTGTGTAATTATTGCTGACTTGCCACGGATTCATCCATGTTGATATTCTGTAACATCATAGACGCGTAATAATAAAATAATTATCAGAGGTGGCAATATAGAAACTCACACTTACTGTTCGCTAGCAACGATAGTATGGAATTTAGCTCTAAAATTTAAGAACCACTCTACACCCACTGCAACTTGCCAACCAGGAAAGAGTAAATTACTGGGTATCGGTGCGGGTCTTGGCTGTGGCGTTATGTGCAGTGGGTGATCTATATATCCTAAGCTTTTAGCCACTTGACTGTGTACTTGTTCAGAATAACCATGAAGCCAAACTTTCAAACACAATACTAGCGATGGTATCGACGTAGGCAATAATTCACATAATGTTGCATAATGGTCGTACCTAAAATTAAGAGTCATTAATACCATTTATTTAAGTACAAACTATACAGATAATTACCTTGACCAACCGGTAAAGGCTGTTCCTCGAAATTCATGGACTTTATTCACGTTTATATTTAATTCTTCTAACCATTTCTCATGGTTACTAACATGGTGCCTTATAACTGGTACATGCTGTAAAGATCCAGTAGCACCTTTAAATGCAGTAGCTGCCCAAATGCGGGGAAAGACCGCGGTATACTTATCCCATAGTCCTAGCAAACAATTTTAATACTATGTCATTTTCTGACATTCAGACGTATTAACATGTTCACTGTCTGTGAGCCGTATATGGGTCATATCACCATGCTATTGGATACGCCGCTGGGAAACCAGACAGTGAACGCGTTAATATTTATAACACCAAGTAGAAGAAACCTTACCAGGAGGTAAAGCAAAATTATCTCTAGGATTGTAGTGCCAAATCATAGGTTCTACATATTTTCCAATATAATGATCTGAAAATGATATGATATATATATTTATGAAACCATATACAACTAGTAATAATGCTAATAAATTATCAAAATACCATTCAAGACCTGTAAATCTATAGATCTTAACATATCATCCCATATGATAATTTTTAAGTAGGGATACGTCTCTTGTACATATTGTGCAATGGCTGAGACATGTTCCAGGTATAGCGATGGTTTTCCATATTTGTTAGCAGCAGCACGTTTTGTACAAACCGAGCAAAGCCCTAAGTGCCAAACTTCATCCGCACCTATGTGTAAATATTGTATGTCCGGATGAAAGCTAACTATCTGCCTAATCAAGGACTTTACCAAAGGCAATGTTCTAGGATTAGATGGGCAAATAGAACTTGGAAAATTCTCAACTTCCCTCAAGGACTTCCATTCATTATGTTTCAACACAAACTGCAATTGATTCAATATTAGGCAACAATATTTAAATGTACAATTTCATTTTGATTTTGTATACCTCCATATGGCCAAATGTTTGCACCAAAGGAACAATTGCTAAACCACAGTCTGCTGCTATTTGCAAAATATGTTTAGCCTCATGAGCTGTGTATCCAATGGACAAATTGTTCAATCCATTGCTTCCTATATGAGCAAGCTCTCGATTGTATGGGAATGTGTCTTCCCATTCTAGAAGAAGTCCAGTAGCACCCCATGTTCTCAAAAGAGGGAATAGCTGTAATACAAATCACAGATACTTTATAATTCATACTTATTCGTTAACTGACACCTTTATCAAATATATACTTGTGCCAATAATTGCTCAATGCAATGTAGAAACTTTCCGCCTTACTGCGCACACGATATTTCGTTGTAAAACGTAAGAATCTATAGAAGTTTCTCATAAATAAAAAAATCGTGTGATTGTATAAATTCGATGAGAAACACAGATATCGAGGACATATTTAACACATAATAGAAGAACGGTGTATCATGTCATTAAACGTATAATTCGATGACGCTACTGTCAAATAAAAGATACAGTGTACAAACAATGCGGTTGTTTATTCGAGCAACAGACCTTTTCGAAGTAACACACCCGCGGCGGAGCACCCTTGAGGTCCAAGTGAACTAGTCTGCAAAGAAAAGATCATATTTCTGTAACGAAACATAGATCCGAACAACCGTTTTTCCGAAATTTATGTCAACCAATCGATCGGTTACCTGTGTAAGCCAAACGTCAAGCCGTCCATCTTTTCTCCATTACTACAACGTTAATTGAGGGGAATACAATATAAGATTGCTACGATCGTTTTGCACACGGAAAATTGCAGTAAACATTTTCCTCTATCTCTTATTATAATACTGAAACTATAATTATTCGTGTTAGAAACTTATCCGAGAATTTGGTTTTAACGCGCGGGATAAGATTTAAATTTGAACGCGCATTCTCACCGTTTCTATAAAAAAATTTACCTAAAAATATCGTCGGTGAATAGAATCCAACGAAGAATTTACGATACCGTATGTTTTTTAAAGTAAATGTCAATATTTATGCCACATAAATATGGTTGTATCGGACGCAATAAACGATTATCTACTCTATAAAAATTCTCTTGCGATAGAGCGTATAGGATAGGATAAAATCAATAGAAAAAGTAATTTTTCCACGAAATATAACTTTATTTCTTTATACGTTATTTCAGCCTTATATAAAACGTTACAATTGCACGTGTAATATTAACCTTCAGACAAAGTTTTATTGGTCGTGCCACGATGCATCGTTAGAATAGACACAATAGTAATTGCAATCAGTTGCAATGCGTACAATCAATAAATATGTCAGGACGATGACAGTATTTAGGATATCTGTTTTTCTCGTTTTTCTTCGTACAATGCTCTCGTACGTTATCGAACCTGTTGCAGGTTACACATTGTTTTTTTTATTCAAGAATAATTACATTTAGAAATCTCTTAGTAGGATCCTAACGATTTGACAGAGGATTGTATATTTTCGTTAATATACGCAGACGTATACGAAAGATCGTTCATTTTAAACACTGATTAACACAATACATATTAGGCGTCTGCTGAATTTCATTCTCGGGTAGCGTTTTAACACGAGAAAGGTTATAAGAAACTACGTGTTTTGGGGAAATGTGAACGGAAAATTTTTTCGACGAACACAATACAGAAATTTGTTACAAAATAGAGCGCTAAAGTAATACGGTGGTAGACACACAATTAAGAACTAAAAGTGCAATTGAAACGCTTGGCACATTCTGTAGAATCCGCTGTACGGAAAGTTACATAGAAATTATTGTATGGGACAAGATTGATTCTTTAACGGGGGGAACTACGCGTCTTACTTCTTTTCGTTCGTTCGAACGTCGTTAAATCCTAAATCGTCACGTTAAAACGAAAAGTAAAACGGGCAACTAGACAAAGAAAGTTGTCGGACAGTGATTTTCTTTATTATACACAGTCGCGCGAAACAATTCGCCTTGTTCGGATAATGTCATTATTCCTACGTTAATTCATTTGTACAAAAGTGATTCACCAAAGGACGGTTGACACGACGAATCGCGCGAGGAAAGTTGTTTTAATCGAACGAGTACGCAACGTCTAATGCATTACTTGTAATACAGTTTTGAGACAAAAATGAATTAAGAAAAAAAAACGCTCTTGATCGTGTAATCCATCCTTTGTATCTCATGTATACAAGTGTCAGGGCAGGAATATAACAACAGTCAGCGATATACAAAAATGCGATCGGTCGTTTAAAAAAATTGAGCTAATCTTACAACTACGCTTATGGTACTTTAGGACACGAACAAGAAAAATCAATCTCCGTGTGCGTCGGCCTAAATGTCGTCGAACGTAAAACACGATGGTGGAAATAAAGATGAAATTATAGCAAACACGATGTTTACATCCTTATACTTTCCGAAATGTTCATTAATTAAAAGTTCGAACATCACGACAAACATCTATGCTAACAGAGCGACATCCGGTCAATCTTAACTATTTTTAACAATGAGTAATTTCTAGTTTTATCTTTTTACTTGAACAATCAAAGCGTAACGGTATAGTCATTCGGTAACTCGCTCTTCTAACTTTAAACGTACTTCCGTCTGAATCACTTTCCAACGATTTATTACTTCGGACAGGAGTTCGAAATTTTTGTTTTGAGGCCTTTGTTTCTGTGTGTGTGTGTTTTTTTTCTTTTTTATTTTGTCGCGCATATCACACGCGTTCAACCGATAAGCGAATTTCTGTAAGTCGGATGAAATTTACGAGACCAGTTTTCAAAACGAAATCATCTGTTTACATATCTCTTAGGATGCTAAAGAACTTAAGTCTACCGCCCATGATTCGTCGTGATAAATAAATTAATTACATGATCTAACGTTTACACCTTGTTGTTTCGACCGTACTCCAAAATTTGTTTATGATAAAAAAGAAGATACCTGAAAAGGAAACGTTATTTCACTGCATCCTTCGTAATAATACTAACTGGCGCACTATAACCAGTGCCGCGGACTCACCCCTCGCTAGTTAAGACGTCTTTTAATCTTGCTCTTGTAATCAAATGATCGTCACATTTAAACCATTGATCTCTTTGTTGCCGTATAAAGGCAGTGTAATGTCCAGTTTCCAAAGAACCCTCATGGTTTATCACCGCAAACAATGAATATCTATTGTCACTGAATGCCATGTCTTCTCCGTTCTTTGGTAGTCCATCTATCATCGCACTGTTATTGTTGCCGTTTCGTCTATGCGACATAAAAGGTGTCATGTCTAATTGTTCTGGAAACGAGATGAATGTGGAAATCTTCTTGTCCTGTATGCTAGAGTGCTCGAATCGTTTCAAGTGAAAACTGGCCACGATAGGGAGTTGTTTCATCGTCAATTGCTTGGTACTCTCTTGATAGGTTTGACAATTGCTGCACTTTATTTTCGCGCTAGATCCCAAATGCTCTGCACGCGTGAACCTTTCCAGGCAATCTAACAATGAGGTAGGGGGGCCAGAACTATCGGAACCTGACGCGCTAGCAGCCGGACCCAGATCCAACGATATATCCCAGAACGGGTCTATCGTGGTCGATACTCCGCTAAAAAGATTATCAGATACCGTACAGACCTTTCCAGAATACGATATGAATTTATTTAATTATATTATGAATTTATGTCGTACTTGCACGCCTGACAAACCACGTCGCTTTGAAGACCACCGGTAAAGATCTGATCGATGATACAATTACAATGATGCGGATTATCTTTTACTAAAATCGGCGCTGCTTCGCAATGTCTATGCAACACGTCGAGCGTGGCTATAAAGAATTCGTGGGCATCCTGCTGTTCGTAACCTGCTAAATGTCTGGCATGCGTCCATATCAAATGTAGAAGCTTGTGAAGCGTCAATGGTGCTTTGCTACCAGAATAAAATTCCTGAAAAAGATGGGACACTTCGCACACCAGGCAGCGGGAGGGTTGTGGGCAGTGATGGCGATCAGCAAGGAAATAATCTCGTAATAGTGGCGTGTGTATGAGCGCCTGCACAATGCAGTTCATGAAACATGTACTTCCAAGGTTTATAAGTCCTCTTAGACCTAAAAGTATTACATACAAATTAATATACACTTTTAATTTATATTTGTAATTCCAGATTTGCATGTAAAGTAGCCTGTTGTAACTTTTACCTATAGTAGAATTTTCTACAACGCGTCTTCTGCGCGGATGTTTCCTCAGTAACTCTGCCTCTATTTGCGTTGGTTCCCATGCTCGATAAAATTCTCCAAAGCTTAGAGACTTTGCAGACTCGCTCCACTGAGCTTTGGCAACTGCCAATAATTCTCTATCGTATACATAATCGCCGCATTGGAAGCACAAAATATTTCCATAACAAAGATCAACAGCTACAACATAAAATTTATTTAAAAAATATGTTTTGCAAGTACATTGTACAGATTTCTGAATATAATTACCTAAAAAGTGCTTTTTGGTCTTCGCATGTTCCTGTATATGACCTTTCACGTAGCAACCAAAGAATATACAGTGAAGACAAGAATGAAGGCGGTCTTTGTATGTTTTACATGTGTGACATAAACAGCTTACAGCCTAAAAAGTATAAGAACCATTTATCAATTGCACCCTGTATACAAGTTAAAAATATAAGCGTACAAGTAAATTACTACAGATTAGATAAAAGTTTACTGGAGGAAAGCTATAGGAATAAAATAGATATATATGGAACATAGGAATAAAATATGATACAAAGGTTTATTTAATGCAGATTATTATTGTATCGGATCATACATTTTTGGAAATATTCATCAAATCAACGGTACCAGCAGAATCATAAATCTGTTGTACCGTTATTTTAAACTTTGTACCGGCAGAGTAATCGTACACGGCGGCCATTTTTAAATCCGTTTATACGCACGAGTCATCCATGAAAGTAGAATCGAAACAAATAAATTATATCTACGACGTCTTTCCAATTATATATTGCAATTGTTGCAACCGACTGCGTAATTTCATTTTATACTTTGGAACTTATTTCGAATCGTACAGATTCGTGTTTTAGTAATCGATATCTAGGGAATGTTTACGTGCATCGAAGAAATGAGAAAGAAACAAAACAATAAGGAGAAAGAAAATGAAAAGTAACACGGAATGAATTACGAACGGACAATCGAATATTGCGAAATATTCATCAAGTTCGTTTAATGTTTTCAAACAACGTCAAAAAGTTTGACCGTCGAAACCGACCGTTACGGCAACTCGAAGACAAAGAATAAGTTTTAAAAGGAATGTCCCAGTGAAAAAGCAAGTCCATTGACGGATCTATAAAACATGAATGGGTCGCAAAAGTAGCACATCGTCGCTTCCTAAAGATTTGTAAATAGTATAGACGCATTCAGGGACCGGGTTGTCGTTCTAACTAGGATTTGCATGCTCCGTGATTCAAGATCGTAAGCGCGACCAGAAAACGACAAAGAAAGAAAATGATCTCTCGACTTCCGAGATTGTGAAGGTCCTTGGTGTCGCGGCGATTTGTTATTTTTCTCGAATTACCGTTTTTATCGCGTATCCGGTGGACACAATACCGTAACGAGACCACCGGATAGCAAGGCGGGGACAAAAAAACGGCCGGATCGAAGGCATGGGACGGCACAGGCGAAAGCGAGAGAAGAGACAAAGACAGAACCTTGACCACGGATCACGCAAGAAAAAGATAGTCGCACCTTTCTTACGCGTGCCTCGGTCGACGTGCTGGTCACGAAATAGGAGTGTATCACTTTGTACGGCTGGATACCCTTGGCTGCTTTGAAATTATTTAAGTGTATGCAGCCATGGTCGCTCATCTCAGGCTGGCGCGAGCGACGCTGCCCTGCCTCCTCCTCGCCCCGGTGATAAGTCTGCACGTACTTCGACGCTCGCCGGCCCTCTTTGACCACCGACCAGATGACGACGACAATGACCACAACGAACCGTGCGTTGACCACCGACGACACGACGCAGAGTACGAGCCGTCGACGACGGGCACGAACGCTACGTGGAGCGATCGGTTGACGGCGACGATGGAGGCTGCTCTGTGCGGGGCGTAGCACGCTGGCCTTGGTAGGAGCGCGCGTGTCGTTGACATGGAAAACCGCGTGAACCTTGGGAAAAAAGCGCAAGGGTTGTCCGTGCAGTGTCGTAGCCAGTCGATCGCTGTCACACCGTACCGATCTGTCCCCGTTTGTTGGAGAGAGACAGACCACAGAGTAGGAAGAAGAAAGGCGAACGAATTGATACAGAGGTGCGCACGACCAAGCGGACGATCCTTATTTTAACACCCACGAGACGAGGGGGAAGTCTACCGATGCTCTTGGCGTCGACCTCTTCAAGGGAAAACACCGTTTTGACTTCTCGTGACCACGTTTTCAACACCCGGGTGCTCACGGACACCAGCCGGTCACTGCAGGCGCCGCCGGTACGAGCCAGCCCCTCTCTACCCCCTCTACTAACAGTAGAACGTTTGCAGGGTCGACGCCATCGTAGGGCGCCCAGGGTTCCATCGATAATTCCCGTTTTACTTCCAACCTACGGAGGAATCGCGAAAAATCGTGTTCCTCGAATACCGCGGACCGAAAGTTTAGAGAAAGTCGTACCAGTAGGTTGAGAAAGTCACGATGATTTTGTAAAAATGCTTCGAGTCGCGCTTTCAATTGTCAAAATTGGAAACAATCGACTATCGAAACAAGAAATTTCTGCCAATCGCGGCTCGAGTTGCTTCACGTAGCACCGCACGATTGGCTGCGAAATTCTTTTCTTATTCAAACGATTACGAGGCATTCGCAGTCTCGAACTACCGTTTTCGTCGCGTATATCGTAAAACGGAAGATCGATTCGCGAAATTATGGAATTGAAGAGAATCGAAGAAAGCAAGTGAAACGAGAGTAAATATATGGTATATGCATTGTCTTCAATGACGAATTGAAAATTTATCGCTACAACGATACATGCAATCGTACAAAAATAAAGAAAACTACAGAACGTTAATAATACCTACAATACATGTTTCAGGTTACAAGAATTTAATACGGCCCTGGAACCCCGGCTTTCCTAACCCCCCTCATCCAGAAGTAACAGCTGCGCACGGTGTATGTAAGTACATCCCTTCGGAATCGCTTTCTCAGGAGATCACAAAAGCGTAAACGCTAACTGATGATTTCTTTGTTGTGTGACCCATTGCTTAATGCTATTCTCTACAGCTTCATCGATTATTAAAAATGATTCGTTAGATTTTGATCAACGAATCCATCACCTAACCTCGAAAATAGCGAACAATTTCGTATACCTATTCACGTTTGTTTTTGCTAGAATGAATATTATTTCTTGACGTAAAATTGTACTTTCTGTGCATCGTGATATTTAGTAAAATAAGATTACATACGAGCATATCGATATATTATATTGTTCTAGTAACTTATGACTTTGTCTTGCGTTTGTTTGTTGTCATACATTGTTGCAACTTTTCGGAACATGTTGACAACATAGCAAAAGCAAAACATATTTGTGCTGTCATCTGTGTTGCTACAATCTTTTCATACTCGGAATGAAGATGCGGCAGAACGTCCAAGTTTGTCGAAAAATAGTACGCTTTCTTCGACGCTAGAGGGTGTCCCGATAATCGGTATCCTACTTATTTGTGGCGACACCTCTCGTAGGGCCACTCTCGCGTAAGCGCTGACTAGGTATACATCGTCTGTGCCTGTATTATACGCTTTTTAACCGACTATCCCGAGTGTGCTCGTCAAGCTTGGAGATTCTATCGTAGGTAGCGGTGCAATCGTTCGTATAGCAGTGTATTCTTTTGTTTTTATTATACAAGCAAGCTTTGAACTAAATTTTATTAAATAGACCGACAAATATAATCTTAAGTCTATCCTTTTCAATTTTGATAACGCTTAACGCATCTTGACGAGTGATATCAAAATATCGTTCGGTTATTCAAGAAATTCCTTTCCCTTTTCGTTGCAATTCAAATCGACGATAGAGTACTAGAGTACTAGACTAGATACAGTTCTATCAACTTTTTATTACTATTTTATGTTTGCCTTTGGAGGATGCATGCCTTTTCCTCCCAAAAAAACAATGAGGTTGATCACTTTGGCCTGTGAACACATCACTGAACGTGCCCAATACCCACCGTGATTCCTAGATTAATCTCAGGTGTACAGCGTTATTTCCGAGAAGTTTTGTAATCTTCTGAGCCTCTCCCTAGGCGTTCGTTGACTCGCGGTTCAGGGTTAGGCCTCGGCTCTGTTTCTACCATGTAATAATGTGCGTGCACCTCGCTTCGCCGCAAAACTGGGACGCTGCGTGCTGAAAGTGGAGACACAATTGTGGGAAGAGGCTGAAAGCGAGATTGTCCAGCCTATTCGACGGCTCCGTGCGTCTCCGAGCTTCCTTTTTCAAACGGTGTTGCATCCTAATCGCGTCGGACATGGAGCAGATGGCGACACCGATAATGGGTGTTCCTCTTTTTTTTTCTCGATTAATAAATGCACCTGGACACACGGAGTCTGTATAAAACATTCATTTGGCGTTACCGCGGTACACGGGTCTCGTTCGGTTCTTACGCTGCTCTAAGCTCGAGACCAAAGCGATTTAAAAATAACTTAAAGGGTTTAGAAACGCGTGAGTTACAAAATTATTGGCACGCGTAAAAAAAATGGTAGGAATACGAAGGGTAAAATAAAGCAATGAAAGATTCTTTTACCCTTTTTATTTTAACAATACGATGGACTTACAAAGCTATGAATAAGAAAACGATAATATTCTATATAGTTGTACAAAGAGGTGGGACAGTTTTTAATCCACCTAACCTCAAAGAATTGACCGGGTTATGGTTAGAGTTTGGCGGCGCGGCGGTTAGGGTCCTTGGCTTGTAGAAACACGAGACGAGTCGAATTAATAAAGACAGAACGTATGTCGATTATAAAGCCTTCTGTTTCCGAGAATAATTATTAAAGGAATACATTATGTATCAATTAATAGCGATTACGTATAAACGAAGGTGATCGAATAGTCGTTTCAGTTAACCTCGAAGACGATGGTCTTGAACATTTCTTCAGCAGAATGTGTACGCGCGTTGCAATTTATACGTGTTATTCTGTTTACTCGATAGGCGTGTTAATATGCCACCGCTTGAATTATAATGTAACAAAGGTGCTCTTGTGCTAAAGTGTAATCAATTGGTATTCGTAACAGCGTGTTAACGAAACGAGCATTCTCGGGTTGATTCGACGAGAAAGGAAACAATAATCGTAGCTAACAAATGCCGCGAAATAGAGGAAAACCGTGTTTACCAGCGCCTAGACGAATGACTCATAACCTGCGTTTTCCGACGGGTCGTAGTATACGGTTTCAGTTCATCGTCGCGAATAAGGCCATATGCATTAAACCTATTCGTACGTGTTACATACAGCGTATACACTAATTATACATACATACATTTACATATAGCGCAATATTCACGGTTCGTGTGGTAAGACGACGAGAACAAGGTACTACATTGATCTTCGGTCTGTTTTCTTTTCTCAAGGGTTGAATTACGATCAAATAAATATCCTTCTACTCGCTTTATCTTTGAACAATTATCGTCGCGACGATATCGCGGGGCCAATAGGTCACGGAGCTAATCCCTTGATGTGAAGTTACTTGTACATGCAATACTCGGGGATAAGAATATATTATATATTAGTCATGTGTTGGACATCATTGTGAAACTTGACGTAAAAAATTTAGGACGAGTCACACTCGTCATTGTACGGTAAGAGGTTAACGACAGACGGTGGTTTTTTGTGGAACAAATTCTCCGTAGCCAGCATTATCGTTGCTATTGAGGCGCCCTCTGTCGAGTTCTCTCTATCTTGTCGAACTATGACAGTTTTTCCGACGATGGGTGCTTTCGCCGCGGTGACAAACGATCCTTTCAACCGACACGTTGAACCGAGGTCGGTTTTTTCCCCCCTCCATTACCTCTTTCTCCGATTACACTTGGAATCGCGCGATCGATTTGAAATCGACTTAATTCGCCCAACAGATTTAATAGTCTCCAATGGCGTCGTTAGTTCGAGATCAATTAAGCGGGAGCACGTCTGTTTCTCGTGGCCAATGCGCCCAAGATGCCAAAGAGGAATTTTTCGTCAAGAGGAGGAAGTCATTTTATCGTTTTCAAAAAATACATTATAATTATTGCAATATTGTTTTATTTTATATGTACAATAAATACACGAAAATATTTCGTTTTTTTTTTTTTTTTTTACAGACACAACGTCCGTCGACTTAAACGAAACTTAAATACGAAACTAGACTTCTCACGACGACGTTTCGAAAACTTACACAGAGTTAAGTTCGGGGATTGTTTGTGCAGTTTCGATGGTCAATGTTCCAAATTGACCGGCCCTGCGTCCAGATACAAATTCCATTGAACATTTATAATATAAATACACAAAACGACAATTGGGTTCTTGGTAATTCGCTAATAAAAATGAATTGCACCGATCGGTTCAATGCAGAGTTGTGCTGATTCGATCATATCGTATTTCAATTATGCAGTTTAATTACACCGTGATCCAATGGGATAGCAATCGATTTACGTGACTCGAACTTTACAGCTAATTCGATACCTGATTATTTTGAAATTTAGTATAATTGAGTAGAATTTAGTTGAAATGTAATGTAATCGATGATGCTTGAATCGCAGTTCACAACGTTGAAGGATCGTGATTAATTTATTTGTATGTTTGTTTTACGAATGTATGCTTGTTTCTTATCTATACGGCGCATCTTTCTCTTTCCATTCATAATATGCGATTTGTATTTATTCAATTATCTCTCGATCAATTTGTAATTTAATTACGTTCCTTTTGTAATCGTACTCCAATTGCAATTACGAATTACCGGAGCAATTCGATCGTAATTCTGCCCGATTCTGGTCCAATGTCACGCAGATACCAAATTATCAATAGAAAGAGCATATCGCCATTATATTACGTAACATGAACTTATGACTTCTACAATCTTAAATATTGTATTATATCGTTCATTGATTTTCGACTATCTTAAATTAATTACGTCTCTGCACTTCAACGTATTAATTACAATAATTCTTTTCGGTATAGTTCGCATGATTGTACGCGTGCAATAATATAAATAATTCGTTAGAAATCAGGGACTTATACCGGTATCTTTCTGTTAATACTTTTTTTTATTAAATCTTCGTAAATACCGATATATTTGCCGGTAATTTTGTCAATTTCTCTATTTCATTACGATTCTTAAGATTTATTTTAAGTAGAAACCTAAAACCGGTACTATTTCCTTATCGTAACTATAATATAGTAATTGTTGCAATATCGTAACCAAATTAATTACGATTAATCAGTTCCACCTTTTGTCAATTGTATTCTAAAATGTTTCCGCGTTTAGTTTATCGCGTACTAGGATCGCAGATTAATAAAGGGCTCGTGGAATATAAAGAAATAAAGATCGGTGTTCGAGTTTAGTGATCGATAATTTTCACAATCGAGATACTGGAATAATAACGATATTCATTTCGATTTTCGGTATTATAACAGCATCGATACTTTTTATTAGCATAATACCGATTTTCATATCGGTATCAAGTCTCTGTTAGAAACTAATAAACGTGTACACTATATTAAAGAAGCAACGCTACAACTAAAACTATGCACCTGTATAACTTGTTCTTTAACTTTTTTAACGTCCACAAGCGTATATCACGAACGAAAAAATTGTTATCGAGGATGGCGAGCTGGTTGCTTAACAGAGAACTATTTAATCGCCGTGTTGCAAAAATTTCCCAACGAAAAAATTAAACGTGATTGATTTTCAAAATATAGTCAAGCGTGTGTCGATATGATTAATTAAAAAGCTGCTCGACCAGCCTCGGTCTCCCCTGCATAGTTCTATGACGTACTTTTCGAGACTCCGAGTAACCGTTTGACACTGAACATACACTCGCGTCGGCATTTTTTATACGTTTATCAAATTAATCAAACAAATTCGTAGCGAAAGCAAACATAATAAATTTTGATAACGGAAATATACAGGGTGATTATTCCTGGGAAAAATTTTAATGGGGGATTTTAGAAGCCAGAATAAGACGAAAATCAAGAATACCAATTTGTTGATGGAGGTTTTGTTAAAAAGTTATTAACGTTTAAAGTTCCGCCCATACTGAATTTTTTTCTTGAAAATACGCAGGATTTCGAGGGTAATTATAATAACCAAAAATGATTGCAATTGACCCCCGCAACCGAAAATAATTTTTCCAGAACGTTTTGAAATTTTTTAATTTTGTTGAAAATCATCCATTCTCGAATTTTTTTCTAGAAAGTGGGTAGGATTTCGGGGGTATGTCTATTCACCAAAAATGATTGTAATTCACTCCCGCAATCGAAAATAAATTTTCCAGAACGATTTGAAATTTTATAATTTAATTGTTAATAACTTTTTAACGAGGCCTCCATCAACAAATTGGTATTCTTGATTTTCGTCGTATTTTGGCCTTTAGAATATCCCATTAAAATTTTTCCCAAGGGTCGCCGAACACCCTTTATCAATTACCGATACCGTAAATATTTTTGTTTCATCGATGTTGGAAATCAGGTTTAATTTAAAACAAATCCATCTTCCATCGATATTGAAAATTCTAATGCAACTTATTGTTTCGAACACGTCGGAAATAATTTCCACAAATACTACAAATCAAAATGTATTACAAGCTACTGAGTGAATCGAACCGATATAAAAATGCGACGATACGCAATTTTTTTATCTCAAAGAATGCCAAGAACGTGAAAAACACCAAAGCGTCGAATCGACGAGGGATCTCGTTCGAAGAAAATAATATGTAATTGCAAAGTCTCGAAGAAAGAGACGCGAGCGTGCACGTGCGTCATCCGAGCGAATCCTCGAAGAGAAACGAAATAGTCTTTGGTATACCCGATCGTACGAATACTGTGTTTACGTTTACGAAAGAGAACAAGAACGGAACAAGAGGAGAGAAAAAAAGACATTATTGAATGGCTATAGCCAACAGAATACCTAATCCCGTAGCTACGGCCAGGTTAATCCTGTTAGCAGTGGAGGCGGGTATATCGGGCTGTTCGGGCGCGCTACCGTTCGTGAAGTACTGATAACTCTTGACACCAGCCTTCGACCTGACCACCCTATAGTTCGGCACGTTGACGTTGACGCGGTTGTTCAGTATATTCGGTAAGGAATTGGTCACGCAATAGACGTTACCCTCCTCGTCGAACGCGAACGTGTCCGGCCACTGCATCCTCTCGTGATCCCTGGAGATGATCCTCTTCCCGGTGTTGAAGGACGCTGATTGTTCCGTGTCCCACGTGCCGACAGCGTCGTCGGCCAACAGGCCAAAGTACAGCATCCCCGACGCGGACATCATCATACCGTCCGTCTGCGAGCTCTTCCTTCCCAGTTCCGTCACGTGGCTGTCGATGTCGGTGACGTTGCTCTTCAGCACGGACGTCGGTATCGAGTACAAGTGGAAAGACGACAAGGGCGAGTAGTAAACCTCTCTGTCCTCCGTGCTGGCAGGCGACAAAGCGATCCCGTCCACGGCTATGGACATGTTGACCGGCATCTTGTGCACCATGAACCTGACGGCCTCCGGCTTCGCCTTCATCGAGTCGTGTCTGACCTTCCAGGAGGTGTTGTTCAGCAAAGAGTAGACGATGATGCCCGGGTCCTTCTGATCGCTGTCGGTTATGTACGCCATCCCGCCGTCCTCGTGGTCCAGGACGATGTCGTTCAGGTAAGCGGTCCCGTGACGCGCCACGTGCTGCGGGAACTCGTAGCTACGCAGTACCTCGCCGTTGTTCTCGATGTCCAGGATCACCAGCCGCGGCGGACAGGTGGTCTTCACCTCCACCGACAACGGGGACATCCGTCCGGAATCGAGGACCCACATACGTCCGATCGGATCGATCTCCATGCTCTGGACGAACTGGAAGGCGCTGCAGTCGTCGATCTTCTGCATGTCCCATGTCGGGTAGGCCTGCAGGTTCGGCGCCGTGTTGAGACCCTCGGGGCTGGCCGACGTGACGGCCAGGGTGACGGGCACCCCGTCCTTCCACCGTGGTATCGTCATGTACATCTTACCCTTCCAGAACTTGACGCCAGCCACGAAGTTGTTCGCCGGCACGTAGTCGCCGTGGGCGACCGCGAACTGTCGCAGCTCGTCCGACGGCCACACCACGTCGATGGCGTTCCATTGGAAGATCACTTGGAACGGCTCGTGGCACATGGTCACCGCGACCAGGAGCAACAGAACCGTCAGGCTCTTCATCGTCCAGATTCTTTATCCAGCCGGTGCTTGCTCCCAAACACTTTTTCTTCCTCACTCTCACCGGTTTTGTCTTTGTCACTTTCAGGCGTTCAGGAAGACGGGGATACGGTTGGAAACCGATATCCGGAACAAGGGACGTCCACGACCCCGGCAAGCGTCGCCGGGTATACACGGAAGAGCGTCTATTCTCGTCGACGAACCTGCGTAACGTGTTCCACGGATGATATTCGTCCGTGCCAACTGTGTTGATCGGCCACCGGCGGGTTTACTTGGTCGCCGGGTACAACTCGCGCGTCCGCGTCTCACGACTATTCCAACAGCCGACCCGTCACGCGGAGACGATCGCGATTTGACTGACGAAGACGCGGAGCGTCGCTTAGAGAGGCGTCGTCGTCCCCTCCCCACCTAACCGTCGCCACACGTATTTTACCACACGGTGGATTCGCGTGCACGTGCACGTGGGTTTAGGCGTGTGCGCCGGATCCTACGCGGCCAACATCGCCGAGTATATGTATACTTACATGCAACAGAACCACCCAGTGTCCCCACCCCGTCGTCACGCGAAACTCGGCTCGCTACTTAACCGTGATGCATCGTGGTAAATGTAAATTAACATTCTTCTTTGAATCACTGCGAATCGCGGTAACAAATAGCGTGTCTTTCTTTTCTTGGTAAACGCTATGACATTTACGTTTTCATATATTTTTAGGGGCGTAAAATGTATCTCAGCTATCTACGACTTTGTTTGTTTATTATTGTATGCGTATAACACTTTCTCTAGAATGTTTGCAACCAGAGTTCGCATTGTTGGTACCCAGTTTGCGTTAGTCAGATATTTTTTCAGTGTAATATATAATCGACGGTTTTACTTTCATCGTTCGTAAATTGGCGCGGATTAGCGATTAGAACGAGCGTTCTTCTGAGAATCGAAAGATATATTCCAGGTACGGTCATTGTAGGGCTAAACGAAAGATGTTAAGGTTGAAATAGCGCGAAGGGGATAAAAGATGTTGTATGGCCGGATCTGTATGAAAAGAGAACTCTGAAAGGGGTGAGGTTGCTACAGGGCTTAGAAAAGGCAGTTACGTCTTACTTTATCTTTCCCCCTCGGAGAATGATCCCGAAAAATCGATTCAACGGACCGCTTCTACGTATCACGCTCTGCACAATTGCGTTGTCCGCGATGCTCGACGTGTCTGCATCCTCCGTGGAAAAAAAGGAGCCGCGTCGGAGATCGTGCGACGACATTTGATGGACTTCCTGCGATAAGGGAGGCTCCGTGTTTTAGAAAACTTTTGTTACGCAGTACTGAACGATATCAGAGTTCGATTCAATATTGTCTCCCTCGAAATAACTTCTTTGGGAAGCCTCACTTCCAATCTTTCAATCCTCGTAGCAGTGTACAGCCTTCAGCTGATCGGATACAGCCGCTCCAATGTTTTCGAGTGTCCCAAAATGACGTTCTTTGAGGTGATTTTTCAATCTCGGGAAGAGGAAAAACTCACAAGGACTCAGGTCAGGCGAGCAAGGAGGCTGAGAAGCCACAGGAATGTTTTTACTGGCCAAAAACTCATTTACTGAAATTACGAGGCGCATTGTCGCGATGCAACGCCCAGTTGTTCTTCACACACATGACCCTTTTTCGAAGTTTTTCTAAAACCTCTCGGTAAAAGTGTTGGCCTTGAGGCACAAACTGTTTGTGGACGAAAAAGCAAATCAGCATGACTTTTGACTCATGTTTAGAACGCACTAGAGAGAACTGTTTTACGAAAACAATTGCTACGGGCAAACAAACGACTCTAGCGGGTAAAAACTTGTATCGAAGAAGTATCACACGTTCACCTATCGTCTCTCCGAGTCCCGCCTCATTACTTAATTTTCACACCTCGTATCTGCTGTCGACCAGTGTGTAATTCATAAAGAAAGACACGCTGCTTAAAGTAACGCGTGAGGCGGTTTGTATAATTTCGAAAATGTAATATCGTTGACCTTGAGGACCATTCTTGACCAGCAGTGTCATTAACCAGCTTTATCCAGTGGAATACTCGCATTATATAATTGCAGAAACGTAACGCGGCTGCGCGACACGAACGATGATGGATGAAAAGAACCATGAATAAAAATTAGCCTACGGGCATCTGAAAGCATTCTACATAACCGTGATGTCAAAACGGCCGGGCGCCTATTACAGGCACCGTCGCCTATACACGTACTTTATTACTGTTATAACATTATGTTGTAGGTCACATGATCGTGAGTCAACAGTTATGATGCGCCGGGCAGAATTTGCGGCGTCAGTGAAACTTTTCCGTCACGGATCGCGTTGTTGGACGCCCTTCGGAAGTGCCCTAATTTTCCCGTCTCCGATTAATCGTATCGCAGCGAGTACGGATTGCTCGCAACTTTCGCGCCCCCCACTGAGCTAGCCAACGTCCAATCAATTTTAGACAATTTATATTTAGTTTCATATTATTTAGAATTTAACGCTACAGTTTTGTTTCTCGAGGATCGAAAAGGATCGCCGGGTCGGTAATTAAGAAGGTTCTGCGAACGTAAAATGTACACCGAGGTCTCGCGACAACGTGTTAGTTTGTTAGGTTGTCGCATGGAGAAGTAGACTAACTGGATGACCGGAATTACAGATTTATGTTAATTGGCAGCTTATTAATATTGCCGGTGCGAATTGGTCGCGGTTGTCCCGTAGATGCTGCGCCATTTTCAGTGGTTAGAAGCGTTTGACGAACGTGCAAGCATGTCGGGGCTAATTGACACCCTTCTTCCTCCATCTCCGAACGTCGCGATCGAGTTCTCATTTGTTAATTAGACAGCACACAAGGACATTGTGTCGGTATCCGCGACGTAACGGGTTCCCCTAATATGTACAGTGAAACCTCGTTGTCATTTATATTCCATATCGCATATGTTATGTTTATTAACTGTACGTGATCATCGGTGTGGAGCGTTGCTTTGCTGGGGGGTAGGAACTAGTGGACTCATTGGTAGGCTTTCTAGCAGGCTCTGGCTTAGACGATTGGGATATTGGGAAGTCGTTCGAGGAATGTGTTAGGTGTACAAATGAATAATCCAATTTTCTCTACCGAATTGAATACTTTTGAAGGTTATGTTGAGCCTTTCGCTAAACTATCTTTTGTTTTAACTAGCTATATGTCAACACTATATGAGGGCAAAAGAGCGGAAAAATCTATTGACTTTACTTGATTTTATAATTGCTTATCAGTTTGACGGCCGCTGTCACGTATACGTGACTTTGCGAGCTAGCAGACGTTGGCCACTGTCACGTGTGCGTGATCTATTGTATCAGTCACCATTTCATCATACATTCAACAATATTCCTAGCATCTTCATGTATCTCACTTTGGTCTACAATATCACGGTCTTCGCGTGGTACGTGCGGCCATTAAAGTGTTAAGATAATTTGGATTATTCATTTGTACACCCAATAAAGTGGGCGATGTCAAAAATCACTTGAATCAGTTTTTTTATAAATAAAGATCAGAAATGAAATCATGCTGCCACCAGGAAGATGGCAAAAGGTGATCAAAATGACCAGGACATAATTCAATAAAATATTTATATATTATAAGAAATTTGTTCCTTTTCACGAAGAAGACAAACGAAATTACTTTCTGAACAATCCAATAGTTTGAACTTGTTCATAGTTCCTTCAGAACATTTAGAATAGCTATAAAAGCTGAACTTTTATAAACGAAAGTGTCAATGTTAACTTAAAACAGAAGAAAAATGTAGAATTAAAAATTTTACTATATAACAATAGTTCAAGTCTCGGTTTCCTTAGTTATGGCTCCGAGAATAATATATTTTTACTCTGATTATGGTCGTAGAAGATTTCTCGCGCACGTGCTGACCAATTCTCTCTCCTTGGTGAATTTTTATAGATACTTGAACGTCTGCCAAAACGTTATAGTACTCCTTTCACGCGCGGTGTCGTTTCGCATTCAAAAATACGATGCTGATCGTCGCTTCGATACATGGGCACTAGAGGCCTTCGATCATCCATCAACCACCGAAAACAGTATTTTGGAATATCGCATCAATCCGACCGCGTAATATTATTCTATCTCGTTGAACGTTCGTTCGTGAAACGGTGCAATTATGTAATGACCCGCGCGCACACTTCGTACGCCCGACCTTCGCGTTTTCTGCACTGTAATTACAACAAATAATAGTCTGCGATTGCAACAATCTCGCTTTGATATCGGTGCCACACGAGCGACACAAAACGACGAGCAAAGATTCGAAAGTAAAGTTGAAACAATACATATCTGTTTAGACTACCCGTTATTTGAAATATACAAAATGAAAGAATTTCTAAAACGTTTACTTTCCAAGTAGACCAAATTTTCAGATACTTTTCGTTCCTCGTTATTGCCGACAATTTAGAATACAAGAGTTCGTCATAGTTTCGTATCGATCTTGTACAAATTTGTATTCCAAACATGCTTTTGCAACTTCCTGTACATATCGTTAGTAGTTCGAAGCCGAGACTTTGCATAAACGCAGGAAAAACATAAAACGCTGATCATCGTTGTTTTCTCTCGGTCGCGTTTCTCATGCGTTTCCCAATGCCTGACTTATTGCTAGAGTAAATATTGAGTCGCGGTAGCCTTCGAGAAATGCAAACCACAGGCGCGTTCGGCGGAGCGGTCGTCCTTTTCGTGAGTTTGTCATAGCACCCAGGCCTTAATGGAAACGTCCATGAATTCAACGGACGGATCCTTCGACGAATCCGTCACGATCTCGCGGTTTCTTTCCGCGGCGACGTAGTCCGCAGGTGCATCGTCGGATTTTTCTTTCACGCTCGTACGTGCAAGGACTACGGGATCGCGGTTGTGTCACCCCCTTAGGGGCTCTCTCAGATTATCGGTTTTCCACGTAAGGTAGTTGGACCCAGTAGATCTCTTTTGAAACTGTGCAAGATTTACCGAGGAACCTTAAGATAAATTTTAAGCTATATTTATTGTTACAATTTTTTGGGGGCTTTATGGAAAAGATAGCAAAGTAAAGGGAGAGTAAGACATCCTAACAGACTCTGTCTTAGACACTGGAATATTGAAAGGTCGATCGAGCGCTTGCGAGAAGAACGGTCCCTCTAGCGGCCAGTACGGGAGGCTATGGGACCCCACAAAATCATTCCTTCAGAGTGAAAACACCCCTTTTGTGTATTTTAATTTAGAGTGTATGAGAACTCTTGGAACTAAGTTTAAAGCTTTGAAATTAGTGGGCGATATCCGGGTACCCTATCCCAAATTTGTTTCTTTTTTAAAACGCTGATATAATACATAAATCGCTGATTCGGACCATCGTAAATCATCAGAGATACACTAGCTGCACTCGATATTTTCAATATTCTGAAAACTCGCCGACGATAATATATTAATGGAATCGTATCGTTGCGAAATATCGCTAATGG